TATTAAACCGTTTTATTGGTAAATAAATTTTTACAGCAGAGCGAGTTTTGAGACGCAGCGGAGTAATTTCACAAGATTTTGTTGCCTAAGTTCAGTGCTTTGAGTGGAAAATGAGACTATGGGTTGTTGTCTAACTAAACGTCAGTCATCAGTATGGCTCTAATCCCGTTGCAAGATAAACGTGAATCGATTATTCTGAATCCTTCTAACGGAGGCAAAAATGTTAGGTTAGCTTTGATTTGAGTGACAATAAGAGAGCCTCTCAGAAAGGAGGCTACTTCCGACATATGACCTATGCGTGCTCCATATAACTACAAATCCTTTTTTCCTGCTCTCTGCTCTTGCATTATACAATCACCGCTAACTTCGTGTCTCATTGAATTAATAACCGCTGGCGTATCTACGTCGAATTATATACTCCACTGAAGTAAACCTGCTCTCTTCGGTACCTTTGCCATAATTTTTATAGCAAATACCTTAAATTTGGAAAGCACTGCACTTGGTTTAGCTATCAAAACGAACATTAATTGAGGCGAAGAGCTAAGGCCTTCAGATCTCCTATTCATATTGACCAATCTTTTGTCGAAATAATTATCGATTGTTAATAACGCATAGCAAATACCCGCTTAACAAAAATATATTTTTGGATCAAGAGAGAAGAATCCCCATTAAGTCAATGCTTTCTTTAAATATTTGCTTAATAAAAAGCTGACAAGCAAGCGAAGCAACTTGCACCATTTCACCACCACATACCGCATGCAGATGCACACCAGGAGCAATAGGGCTTCTCGTAAAGATTGCAACCAATGTCGATGGCTTCAAATGCTGATGACTGGAAATAAAAAGACATTGATGATGCTTTGACGTTGTCCTTATTGTTATTGTTATTCTTATTTTTGATGCTCTCGATAACAACCACAGCTGTTGCTCTTGCTGTTGTTCTTGCTACTTTTGTTGCTGTCACTTCTGCTTTTGATGAGGCGAGGATTGTGCAGTCTATTCAGTAGAAACGAGTTTGATGAAGTCATAGCTTGCCAAGACAGTCAAGGCTGCCACCAGCCACCGATCCATTCAGCTAGCCAGGCGTGTGCAGCGTGCAACACTTCACTTCACTGTCGCATATTCCTCTCGCACAGTTTCGTATGTGTGAATATATATGGCAGTGCTTTCAATGTAGTGGTCGATTGGTGTTTCCAGTGGCTGTCAGCTTTCAAACAACAAAACAGTACAAGCTTTGTCTGGATTTCGTAGAGTTCCAAATGGAATGAAAAGGGGAGCGAAGGGCGAGTTCTTATGCACATACATATGCTGTAGCGTCGCAGTTATTAAGGTTTAAGCTGAAGGCGACAAGATAACAAAAGAAAACCCAAAATATCACCAGATTCACAAATGCGAAATTTAAGTCAGAAAAGAAAACGAAAACTGTGCTCTACTTGCTGCCGATTTCATAGGGGAGTTGTTGGAGTTGTCAGTAGGAATCAGACATTCCACGATGAAAACAAAGACCACATAAGATTCAAGGACAATATAGATTTGAAAGGGAGGGGATGGGGGTGGTGAGGGAGATAGGACTTGTACAGAAGGTATATCATAATCCAAAGAGTAGGGATTCCATTGCAGGAGCGCGTTCCAAAACAAACTCCACCGTGCAGCTGGTGCTGCCCTTGCAGTCATGAGCTTTTGAGAAGTTGTGGCTGTCTAAAGTTTGGTGGTCTGGAACTCCAGCACCAGCTTTCAAGCATTGGTACCAGTTTATATAAACATTTTGGCACTCAACTCTCCTAAGTTTGTCCCCAAAAACTTTATCTGCCTAAAAAATTTATTCCCACCTTTCCACACACAAACTGAGGTTTTCCTTTTAATTTCTCCTAGATTAGATTACCAAAGTCTTCATTTGTATCCATAGCTGTGTATGCAATGTATTTATATACATATATACTTACATATTCCGCATTACTTACTTAGCAGTGCTAAAAACACAATGCGACACAACACGCTTAAACCACTTATGCAGTCCTCGGTGTTATGACGACACCTATCAGACCACAACAAACAGTCTGACAGTCTGAAGCCACAAAAACACCTATAGTTAATTACAACAATAACAATAACAACAATAGCAAGAACCCTTTGCCATTCCATCACACTTGCATACGCGCAGTTACTGCGAGCTAAAACGGGCATGAGTTTGAGCCGAGCTCGCGCGTGCCCACACACAGCTGCCGTAATGAGGCATTAAAAATGTGGCAAGTAATCGAAGCGGTGCTAATAAGCCACAAATCGCTTAAGCGCACAAAGCGCCATTGCAAAAGCAATTGAAACGTGCAGTGAAGCGGCAAAACTGCTTTACACCCCCACACACGATGTCGCACAGAGGTTGGCGATGCAGCTGGGACGCAGGTTGAGCGCGGCAGGTGTGCAAACATTAGTCGCGTTAAGCTGATTGCATAACTATTTACCGGAATCACTACGAGCTTTCGAGCTTCACCTAACCCGCACCTTGCATGGGTAGACGATTGCCAAATGCTCTACCTTGTGCGCTTCGTACCTTTGTTGAGCCGATTGCTGTTTTGCAACAACCGAAATTAATTCACAACGCAATCGAGCATGCAACGCAATGGCAATTACTTAACCGTCGTGGGTGTGGGGTGTGGGTCGAGCAAATACATAAATGCAGATCCATAGGTAGGCACTGGCTTGAGGGAGGATGTATGAGGAAGTGAGCAGTGGAAATACGCGTCCGCCTTTCGCATTTCTCGTGTTGCCCCCCTCTACCTTCAATCGCCTTCATTCGTTCGCCTCTGTCGACGGTAATGTGCGGTGTGCGTGCTAACATAACGACACTGCTGGCGCAACGTTGCGAGTTTACTGCGAACGATGTAAGGAAGTTGCCAACTAATTTGCCAAACTAACATCCGAGTCTGCCAAATGCAACATTCTCCAGCAGAATATCGATTTGCAATACTTGACACCTGCTGCCGGCGAAAGCTAGTGACTTGCACTACAGAGCGGCTGCAGTCGCTGCTGTTGGCGCTCAATGATTATTCGCATTTGCCATTTGGCTTATAGATTGTTTGCTGTTTCCCCACCAGCTGCTGGCGGGAAATGTAAATTCTGTTAGCGGCACTTGAAGCGCCTCCCGGCCCGCTTTTGCAACGGAACTGACACCGTCACTCTCAAAAAACAATTTGCGGATGCGAAACTCTGAAGTGCAAGTCGATTACGAAGTGAAGTTGGTGGATGCAACAGGGTTTGACACACTGCCAATGAACGAGTGAGCCGACGAGGTAACAAGCGAACGGCACGTTGCGATTGTCGTTTTGCTGCTGCCAAGCGCGACCGGGGAGGAAGCATGGTAGTGCTGCAGGTTGTTATATTTAAGTTGTTAGTTTATTTTAGCGACAATGTCAACGATGACGCCAAGATGCTGATAATTCAGTTGCTGTTAAAGTCATTTATGGCAACATTGATGGATTCGCCTCATAACTACATTGTTAACATGCTAAATAGCAGGAAAAGTGCTGGAGATGGCAATCTAAAAGTGCGGAAGTTTTTAAGTGGAAGTGATTGGGGACGTAAGTGCTTTTTTACCTCGCAACATACATGATTCGTTTGGAATTCGGTTTTTGATCTGCTTTACCATCAGACTCTGTCGAAGTGGGTCCTTCAACAGTTCTGAGACCAAAAACTCTAGAATAGGAGTACGAATCTGCACCCAAGGCCCAGGTTAGGGTGTACAAAGGGAGGAAACTACCTGTCTATTTCTGCCTCGTATTCAAGCCAACACATTTGCTAATCTCAGACCTCGAAAGGCAACTTATGTTCGTGCTCTAAATTGTAGAGATCTCTACTTGGTGTTCTCAACTCATGGGGTAAGGGAAGTGCTATCTTGAGCGAAGTGGCGTATCAGCTGCGTCAAACTAAAGTCAAGGCCAAAACCCTCTGCATATGAATAATTTAAACTACCTGCCTTCTCTCAAAAACTTATTCTGCCTACAGGCGTAGGTTCGCTTTTCATTGTCCCCTTCAGTGTGTGTGTGTATGCGTGTGTAGGTGTGGGTGTGGGCAATTCAATGTAGGAAATTGAATATACATTTTTAAGTGCATCGGCGTGGAGTTTGTGTTTTCAATGTATTCACACATATAATACACATATACATAAATACATACATTCGAGTATACAATGCACATATGTTAAAGTATTGTTGTGGCGACTTTGGCTGACGGCATTCACTCCGGGCAGTGCTCCTTTCAATTGAGTTCAGTTCGCTTTTACGCGGTAATTCTTTTTTTACTTTTTCCCGTCGCCTTGTCGCCCATCGCACGTCGCCCGTCGCACTTAAACATTTCTCTTTTCAATTGTAATTCGATTGGAGTTGCTGTGTTGCAAATTTTATGCTGATCAGCTGCTGCCATCAGGCATAAATTTCCATTGGCGCGAATATGGAGTATACAAACATACATACATACTTATGTACACAGATACTCGTACATACATGCGCACATAAATTCCATCTACTGATGTAAATATTATCGCTAAATTGACAGATAAAGATGCCACTGTGTGAAATATCAACCTTTTATAGCAATTTATTTAACCGCTAAATATACACGTGTATGTGTGTACATGCCTGCCCTATAGTACGCACGTATACGAGTATGTGGGTACTGTGCTTCAGTTTTGTTGGCTTTTCGCTTAACGATTGCCTTCAGCCATTGCTATACATTGTCATTTTGTAAGTCTGCGGATGTAAGTTTACATGCATATGTGTGTATGTATGTGTGCTACAATTCATTTTCATAATTTACAATGTCGCTGCTGCGTTCCACACGCACTCATGAAATTATGTAAAATTAAACAAATTGAGCGCTTCTTTATTTCAATACAAAAAGAAAAAAAACTACAACAAGGCATTCCGGAATGGAGGATTTTAGCTTCATTTTCCGTTCTTTAAATTTCTCGCAAGTTAAACTTTTTTCTTCATTTTTTATCCTTCCAGTGAAATTCCTGCGTGAGGTGACACCGTACTTTAGAAAAGCCAGCATTATCTCGGAGGTCGGCTGGGAATTACAACGCGCCTTTCTGTGTCCCTTGGGACCGGGAGCGCCTACATCGCCGCCAGCGCCGAAAATTACACCGCGCGCCGATACACGCTATATACCGTTACAGCTGACGCATTTGGCGAGAAATTTGAAATATATTGATCCAGGTGAGTAGTGAAAAAAGAACAGCAAAAGACAATAATATGTTGGCAAGACTTGGTGCTTGGAGTCTAAAAACCGGAAGTACATCTTTCAAATTTTAACTATCATTCATTTTGAACTTTTTCTCCATTTCTACAGGCCGAGATAGCTTTCCTAGCTGTGGCTGTCTCGGCACGTATCGTAGCAAATTACACTGGCTATAGGATGTCGTCGGCCATGGTAGTTAGTGGTTAGCTATGGGTTCTGCCATTCGGAGGGCCAGCGTTCGAAAACTCGTTCGTTCAACATTCAAAAGTTATAGAAAATGAATTTAAGGAAAAATTGTGTTAATTTGTCTAGAAGCGGTGGCTTCTCGGCAGCGAATGTCACAAAACCCATCATCCGTTCGGAGCTGTCGGTCCTCTCATTAGTTGGGGAAGCTCGCCTAAAAATCACTTCAGCAGTCTCTTTGTGGAAAGATATAATAACATTTCTCTAAAAGGCTCATAAATAAATTCCCATCCGAGACATTTTGAAGTTAAAGTCCCTGACTGCAGCTGATATTGATAAGCGTGTGTGTGAGCGTGGGTGAAGCCAGCTCGCTTCCAACTGCTTTGCTGCCACATACAATCAACAGTGACAGAGCAAGGGAAGCACAAAACAACAAATGTGGCATTACAATTACTGCAACACTTGCAACGCACAGCTGCCATTTTCTATAAGCTCCTCTCCTATCTCGGCGCCTCCCTCTCACCCATTTCCTGCTGCTGCTCGTCGCCTGGCGTCATGAACAATAAGCAAGCCTTGCATATTCTGCTTTTCTTTTCCATTTCGCTCAACTCTTTGCAGGGGCTTCATATGTGCGGCTTGCTGGAGAGCTCGAGCTGGCGAAGCAAAAAAAAAAAAAAACAATAACAACAATAACAATAGCGTTGTTAGTACTTTTCCTAGTGATTAAACAATGGTATTGGCAACAACAATTACATCAAAAGCAACAACAATCGGCAGACAACATCAGCATCAGCAACTCAGCAACTTAAACAATCGCACGACTCGGCAAGGCGCATTTGCAGCTCCAAACGTCGACATTGCATTAAATCAACGTGGCGGAAAGATTAACCACAAAAACCCTGAACTCAATACAACTAAATAGAAGGATGCCATGTGGGCGCTGGGTCGAGGGGAGAATGAGTCTAGAAGAAAATCAGCCACCGCCATCTCGTGCGCCGGGAAACAAAAGACGCCGGCATGAAAAGCGAACACGCAAACTCAAAGGGTGCTGAGCTGATGGAGACGGGATAAAGATGGGATAAAGACACACACAATACGCACACCACGTAGAGCGCAAGAGATTACGGATGGGAATGTGTGTGTGTATGTATAGAGAAATGTGCGTATAGTTTTTACGAAACGATTCCACAAATGGTAGTGACACACATTCTCAGCACGTGGACGGAGTAATGAGGCTAAGCTAAGGGCGCTGCAGGGAATCAAGCAGGCAATCGGTGAGGATGAGGGGCGAGCGCTTGTTGGCATCAGATCACTGTATTTGAGTGAGTGTGTGTGTCTGTTAGCTTTTTGTAATGCATCTTGAATCGCAACGCTTTTGCTGATGCTGCAAATAACTAAAGCCTGCCGCATGTAAATGACAAGCTGCCTCAAACTTACAACCTGCAACACTAGCTGTTATTGTCCTAGCTGCTGATACTGCGGACGAAGGCTACCAACGCCGGTGCACGGGTTGAGCTTTTTTTTAATCAGTGTGCAGTTTTAGGTCGACTTTTGAGCTGATTTCGTTTTTGCCTGACTGAATAGCGAGATAATTTATGCGATTATTTATTTGCATTAGGGTGAGTGTGAGGCAACATGTATGTCATCCCCTGATACCTCCAAAGTTAAGATAAAGCCGCTGTCGAAGGTTAAGAGCATTGGATAGAAGGAAGTGGGAACACTTGTACTGCAAACTAGAGAGTTCGGGCAGTTTTTGCCTTTCAGAGATCTCAGTACTCCATACAGTGTCTTTCAATGTTAACATTTCTCCGCACATATGTAGATAGGTACATGCGTATGTAGTGTATGTACGATTATATTGACGAGTGAGTGCTTCATATTTTTGTTTGAAAACTACAATGAAAAATATTAAAAAGGAAACTTTTTACTAAGCATTTTCTACATTTCTATGTATGTATGTATGTATGTATGTACGCATTACTAAAGCACACAGTGATGCATTTTCCGCAAACAATAAATCACTGCACATTTGTTTAGTTGACTGCTCGGGCGTTGGCTCGGTCGCTGGCTTTTTATTCCGCAGCCACCAAACGCCGGCACCTGATATGACACAATTTTGACAAATACGCGGATTTTCATGTGGCAAAGCAGCAAAGGAAACAAACAAAAGTGTATGCACAAGAATAAAGGACAATAATAATAGAAATAAAAAAGAAAAGCGGAAAGAGAATAAACAAAATAGTGAAAGCGCATTTCGCCGCTGCACTCGAGAGATAAAAATTGCATTGAACGATAGAAGCTAAAAATACTTCTTTTTCTATTGAATTTAAAAATCATAAAAATGAAAACATTTGCAATAAATCAACGCCTCGCACTAAGAAAATATGTGTTTATCCACATATTTGAGATTTTGTTTCCATAAAACACGCTGCAAGCGGTTATTGGTGCTGTGTTGATGACTGGGAGCTTAGTGAGATTTTTTATGGCGTGTTTAATGCTCTGCTTCAGCTTATGGTGAGGTAAAAAGAGGTACTCTATTTTTAACCATCACAACAGGACAACCTGTCCTACAACACTAGACTATAACAAATCAATTGCATGTGTGCATCTTGAAGATGGATTATACAAGGTTTCCTATAGTTGGTTCAGTTATCTCTTATCACTTCGATTCGGTTATTTTGAAGAGGCTATCGATGTGTAAACGTCGGTACACCCAGAAGAGTGTAGGCCCATTGTGTTAGCATGATGTTTACCCGATCAATGAGCTCGTCTAGCCATCTTGATAGATATTGGAACCCAACTCTGCTCAAGGCGGGACAGTCATGTAGAAGATGAGAAACCGTTTCCTGGTCCTCATCGTTCTTTCAGCTCTATAGCCTCCTGTTGAGACTTCTCCAACCTCAGATGTCTATTCTTCGGAGAGAGTTTATTTTGCGTGACCTTTTTCGTTTCCATTTCGTCCAAGCCTATCTAAATACTCTGAAAGCAGCAGTGTGGCTCCATCTTAATAATTCGACATATAATCTGTGCTGTTTTGTCAACTCATGCAGAGATCGGCAACAGTTCAGCACAATTTTCGAAATCGTTGTAAGCGAGCCAAACGATTTGATCGAGATTGGGTAACTTGAAACGGACATCTAAAGATGTATCTTTTGTGAAGATGGAGTATACTCGTATATCTCAAAACTGTCTAGTCCTGTTATATCATCGCATGTTGCATCGTGCATACCTCCGTACCATCCAACAGGACGGGAATGACGGGTGACGCGTAGAATTTGGTCTATGTTCATCGAGAGAGAAGTTTTCTTTTCAATTACCAACTCAGTCGATGGCAAGAGTGATTCTGCATTGGTTTGCGATTCTGGCATTGTAATGGTATCTGTGGATCTTCTCTTCACGTGTATTTTCTAGGATTTCGGGGATAGAGAGTATCTAGTGAATGGAGAATTTACCACGTCCAAAGCCAGGCTTATAAAGTCCCGGTGGACTCTATTCTTTCATCCAGATAAGACCTTATATGCACTATGCGGTGAACTATATCTCACAGTACTGGTGTTCTAGTCATCCTACTAGAAATTTTACTATTGTAAATGTTGATAAATCTTGTTTGGCTTTGATATCGATGATAGGTCACAACCGGTTTAGAATAGTATTGAAATTATTCAGCGGAGCTCTTTAAAGTTGAATGTTTTCATGAAAAAGTTCGATAACGCAATGGCGGTAAGTGTTCATTTCGATAGTAATTTCAATTAGGCTGTTATGACTTGCAGCCAGTGAGATATGGAATTTAAACGCGTTTTCGTGAATTTCAACAATTTCAATTGCGCCGTAAACTATGCAATGGGGAAATTTACTACCAAGGAGGTAAAGAGGTAACGGTTTTAAATAACAACAACTGAAAACTACTAAACAGTAAAAAGTGAACTAAAATACAATAGTTCCTACCTGCCTCTCTAAACATTTACAAACATATATCCACTGGCAAGAGCGAAAATTGAGAAATACGAAGGGAAGGAAATTGGGCAACAAAGTTGCTGTAACTAAAAAAACCTGCTTAATTAGAAATAAATGATGAGAGGTGTTCGTTGGAGAAAATAATGAAATAAATAAGGAGAAAATTGGAAGCAAAAAGTAATACATAAGTTTGCGAAAACTGTTTTGCTCCATACACGTATTTTTGGTTATACTCACACAAGCCAAAACTAAGAGAGCGACAAAAAATAGTTTGTGTGTGTTCAAACAAGATGATTGTAGAATGTAAACTACAGAAAGTTTATAATTTACTACAGGCTTCACGAATTAAAAGAAAACAAGCAGAGAAGCAGCGGGCACGAGAGGCGCCAGTTCTGGCATTTCAAGTTTCAGGTTAAAGGGGGAGCGGCCAAAACCGAGGGCAAAAAAAGGTAACCACGAAAAAGTGCGATAATTTCGCTGCTGAAAACTCGTAGGTGTGGCAAACTTCAACGCCTGTGCGCTTTAAGAGCGCGATAGTGAGTGTGTTTGTGCTCTAGCGGGAAACGTTGCCGCCTATTTACAATTATTTACTACAGCAAAGCAAGAAAAAGAAAATCGACAAAACAGTAAACACAAAATGAGGAAACCACACACACAACCGTTACTCGCCACTCGCTACTTCATTATGCCCAGCGCGATTCACCCCTCCGAATTGCTCGCTTTCTCATTTGTGCACTGTTAGCAGAATTAAGAAGTTGTTGTGTTGTGTGGTGTTGGGATGTTTTTTGGGGGAACACACAGTTTGGTGTGAAAAATTTGCGGTTGTGATTTTCGCGCGTCCAAAAGTTGTTGTTTTTGTTGATGTGGTACGCAAGGACTCTTCCAAAATTGTGCAAAGTAAAGTAAAAAATTTGAATTTGTACTAAACGTCGGTGGCGAAAGAGAAGTCATCCTTCCCCCCCTCAAACCTCGCTCATCTATCTGCATTGGTATGCAGTCTATCTCACATAACGAAATTTAATCAGAACTGTTTTCTTCACGAATTACATTATTTTTATATTTTCGACAATTTTGTTTTTTTTTTTTTGATTTTCGAAGTAGAATGGGGTTGCAAATTAAAATATTCTGGCACTTTTACCGTTATATTACTTTATTAAAAATGTATGAATTTTGTTGGGCATGAATAAACAATGACGCTGTGGTGGCAGAAGAGCTGATGAGCGAAACGGAACTTTTCTTATAGCAAATATAATAAAGAAGGAACTGAAAATAGTTAGGGAAGAGGAAAAACTTAATGAAGACTGAGTAGATTTAGTAATATATTTTCTAGTGTTTGCTGCTTTTATTTGCATTTACTTAGTATCTGAGTTGCTACGAGAAGATTCCTTCCTTCAAAATTGAACACATCTGGCGCAGATAATAAAAAAAATGTTAAAGACTGTAGATTTTGAAGGAAACGGAAAGTTTGAAGAAGAAGAGTATGCAGAGGCTTATATTGGGTGAATTTGCCGCAGACAGTACAGCGGACGTATAAATATTTTGGGACTGGTATTTTGGTTAAGCGTCTGGCGTGTGGTTCTTTTCAAAATCAAATTATTCTTTTGCACCTTAAGCTCATATCAAAGTTAAACTCGGAATGACTTCTTAGTTCATTTCGATTTTTATTACCTCCTTTACTTTAATTATCTCAATTAAAATCCACATACACATTTAAATATCTATGTATTGTATATCCACAAATTCACAAACAAATATTTGCACTCTTGCCTTTATTCATTTCGTCCAGCCATCATTTTTTCCATTTAAGTAATGACTATTGTTTCACTTTCGTCTTCCTTCGCAGAAAACCGTTGTATCGAATTGCATTCACCGGACGGCGTACATTCATGCATACTGCGCGCCACCGATTCAGCTGAGGCGCTCATCTGGTTCAATGCGCTGCATTCGGCGATGTGTGGCAGCACTCAGCGGGCGCTTACCGATGCCAATCGGTCGCTGATGAATGTCATCGGAGAGCTGAAACACATTGGCTGGCTTAGTCGGCGCTTGAGTGGAGGCAGCACCAGTGGCGGTGTGGGTTGTGGCGGTAGTTCGGGCAGTGGCGGTGGTGGCGGCGGTGGCAGCAGTGCAAGTGCCATTGGTGGTGGCACTGGAGATTTGGTAAGTGGATGACGAGGCAAACACAAAAAAAAAAAAAATTTGTTTTATTTGGCTTCGAGCCGCAAGCCGTTAAGCGATCGACTTTTCTTTTATTATTTTATTTCTTCTTTATTTCATGCATTCATTCCACTTTTGCGCTCATTCTGTGCTTATCACATTGAATTTTAATGGAATCGCTTTATTTACAATTCTTTTCCGGTATGCTGCCTTCAACTCAACTCCTGCCTGCCCCACATTGTTTGTTATTGTTGCTGACCTTGCTCAGCCAAGTGGACGTTCCAGCTCAGAGAGCTCCGATGAAAACGATAAATGGCAGCCAATTTTTGTCGCCGTCACCGAGCGGGAGTTCAGGTGAGTGATTCTTCAAGCGAGTGGTATGCTGAAGCAAGACGAAGAGTGCACCCGGATCCACCCGTGTGTGCATTTAATAAAGCTTATTGACAGATTTTCCGGCAAAGATGGATTTTGGAAGATGTGTGTTTGTATTGCGGTTCTTATTCCTCTCTCTTGGGTATGTGTGTGGAGATGAGTAAGCAATGATACGCAAACATTACATTCAATCCGTCAGATTGACTGGCAAGGAGCCAAAGCCGTGCTTGGTGGCGGCGCGCGGATGGAAATCTAAAATCTATGTAAATAATGTTTGACATTGTACTTAAGACATTAGACGTAGTGTGTGTGGGATTTATACAGTTATGGTTGTGAGTTCAGTTCCAAGGCGGGATCAAATTATCTTTATCGGGGACTAGTTTTAAGACGTCGAAACCAAAACCGTGGACCTGCAAATATTTCTTGGCTGAAACCGCTCTTAAGCGTTAAACCATTGAATGCCCTATATAAGGTGCTCCAATCCGTGTGTTACAGATACAGGGAAAGTTACAGAGGCGAGCTTGCCAAAGCCGGTAATAGGGCTTTCCTTGAGGTAGACGGGTTCGAAATCGGGCTATGAAGCCAATTGAAGGCATCGAGTTCCGCTACATCCCTAGTGTATTCTTAGCCGGTTTTAAAATGTATGTAGATATGCTAACATATGCACAGGCTCGTGTTCTATTTTTGTGCGCCACATATTTGCAAATGGAAGTTAATAATATGCTCTGCTGCTCTCGCTGTTTGTCAAATACGAAATCTCATGAAGCAAAGAAGATTCATATTAAGGATTACATAAACATTTTTCAGAGAATTTCGCGACAGAAAAATTGCTTGCGATATACATACATACTATGTGTAAATATATACACTCATACATACTTGAGGTAATTTCTCAAGCAGTACTTATCTCTCTCTCTTTCTCTCCCTCCCTTTACATTCACCTTTACAGTTGTTCACTTAGAAGCGCGTCGAGAGCTGGTTGCCAAAATTTGAATGAAAAATCTCATTTATCCCTCCTTTTCCATAGATGGTATTACCATTTACCGTTATTATAGCGCACTTCTAAGTATTGAAGGTGTCGCAAGGTGCTTGAGAATTGGATGAAGGATTACCCGCCATCAACCACTGTGTGGCATTTGTAGGCTTACACACGCTTTTGTATAGATAAAAATATTAGCATATGAGCCATTTTATGCTACAGCTCTTTAGTGACCCCCGATACATATTAACCTTGTTTGGTTCATCTTACCAAGCCACACGGTTGAAAATATACGTCTTATAGCGACCTCCATCAAATAATCCAAGGTCTCGCTGGTGTGCAGAGGAATTTTGCTTTATAGAATAAGCAAAGAGTCGCCCAAGTCCCTATTGGACGCAAAGAAAGAAAACCCTTTTTAAAATTAAGAAAATTACTTTAGGGCTGAACTCAATGATCCTTCTGGCTTGATGTATGACAAACGGCAAGCATATCTCAGATGCTCAACACCTTTTAAACTATCTACAAATCTCCTTTGAACACCCAAATCTCTTCCCCTGAAATCAAACGAATTTATTCGATTGCTTTTATTGCCCTTTCATTGTTCTTCGTTTGCATAAAAGGATAATACATCAATACCCACTCATACTCGTGCACCACCCGCAAACGCTTTCCATTTCGCACAAGATATAATCGCTTAACTCACACCCAACCAACTTCTAACTCTGGTTTATTATGCGAAATATATAAACACATTTTTGCAGGCTCCCTCATCGGGGGTTGCCGGAGCCAACAGCTTGCTCCTTTAACTTTAACCGTCTACATACATGCTTGTGTATGCCCGTGTGTGCATAGTTAATCACAAAACGATTTGCCGGACATTCATGTTCATTGTTGTTGTTGTTTCTGTTGCTGTGTTGCTATTGTGAGTAATTTTTAAAGCACTTATAACCGCTTTGGCTATACCTCGGCAACCCCTTTCGCAGCCGCTTTCCGAGCGAGTGTGCGTCACTCCCTTCATGGGGCTCATTTATTATTTTTTAAATCTGTTTTATTTCACAAAAAAAGGATTTTTTTATGTTTTCTCGTATTCATTTTTACTTTGTGGCAACATTGCGCTATATTACATCATCAATCAATGACAAACGACTTGGTAACCCTTTTTTGGCCTGGTGTAGCTTTTGTTTCTTACAAGTTTTTGGATTAACAGACTAACCGTACGAAGGCGCCGACGAGTGAAGGGTAAATAAGCCGGAGCAGGCTATGGTCAGCTGGTTATGAAAGCGCCGCGAGTTCCCTACTGAGTTTCAGTAAAAGTTTGGCAATGTGTTAGAGCAAGGGAAAGCAAGAGAGAGAGAGAGAGGAGGAGAGATAGAATAAGTGAGGATGTCGGGCGGTAGTGTGAAAACTGTTATTATTTATAAGTGGGGTTACTCAGCAGCGAAACATTACTGATGGGATTTGTGAGGTACAACGTATTTTAATTGGAATGTGATATAACAAAGCGAACTTGAACGAGAAAACGTATAAAAAATGGTTTGGCTAACAGAGCTATCGATTTTAATATTTAGCACCCAACTTTTGCTAAGGGACACAGGAAAGCAGAAAACCGTTAAATTTATGGTAAATTTCAAATGTCAGTCCTTGTAATTGCTTTGACCGAACCCGTTAAATCAATCCAAAGTGAATATCAAAATCTTTTTGCATCAGGAAGATCACAACGAGAAATTCATGAAGTCGTCTTGACGGGACTTTGTTAAATATTTCCCTTAAACCATTGGATAAACATTACTTCAATGTAAAAATCAACTGTGAATGTGCATTTCTGCCGCAGATTGCTCTTCCCAGAGTGAGAAATCTACTTCCGGCGTCGAGCCAGTGGATGTTGTAGCTTGCTTGTGTTTGCGCTAAACGCTTCCAGGAGGATACTCCACAGAACCAACAAAGGAGCGAAGTAAAGGTGGACAACAATGAACTGCAACGAGTCTGTCTGTGTATGACTGCACGTCCTAGCAGCTCTACGCATATCGTCTTCATTTCTTTTCTTCCAAAGCTCCACACACCACTCGTGCATCCCTGCCAACCATCAGCGTTTCCAACTCTGCGAAAATTGCAATTTCCTGCAAAATTTCTGCTTTGTGTATTTTCTGTGACTCTCGACTCCTCGACAAATATTTCTCATTGTTTCTTTTTTTCATTCATCCGTTTGCTTGTTTCTTTGTTTGCTTATTTGTTTGTCTCGGGTACAATTACTGCAATATATTTTGCAGCAACATTGCTCACTAGAGACATAAAAATAATAATAGCAACACAATGCAACTGAAGCATAGACTGCTGGCTCTACCGTGCTGAGGAGGAAGAAGGAGGAGGAGGCGCAGGTGATGAGTGGCGAGCGGCACTGTGGGTGACAGTGCAAAAGTCAAATGCCACGCAATGCAATTTCCGCAAATAATTTCCGAAATTGCACAGAGCTATGGTCACACACCAGCAATTGCTGGAGCTGTCGGACTCTCATAAACCATATGGTTGCGTGAAATGACAATGTACGGAAGTAAATAGATGATATAGTCTGTCTAGAGTTCGCTGAGTGGCAATGAGATCTCTCCATCAGTGAACTGAGCAAGAAATGATTTTTATGCGATGTTATTAGATGGAGGAGATTTTTCCCGAAATTTGTCAAACTATTGGAGGATTTACTCGACTACCCTTCCAGAGGGTGATTACTACTTTAATTTAATCACTTCACATTCATTTCGGAAAATCTCCGCGTCTTTATTTAGCTAATTGGAAAATATTGTTTTGCCTTTTTGAGAAATCCACAGATCTCGTTGCAAAATAAACACTTCCAGGACGAAACCCAATGCTTGTCTTTCATAAAACATTCTTAAAGAACTCAATTGGTGAGAAGCCGCATTGACCGGACACAAAAATTTGAGGATGTCGTAATAAAAAGAGGAAGAACTCATTTCACAAAAAAAAACTAGGAAAAAAGCAAGCCGTCAATATAGTTGACACCAAAGAGCTCTCACATATGCAAAATTTCATATTGCACACTCTGAGCCAATATGAGCAAAGCTGTCACTTGTCCGGCAGAACAAGTACAAGTCAAAGAAGCAAAGCCACTCGGCGTCGACACGTTGCGATTAGAATGGGATGAGCTGTGCTGTTGCATCAGATCTCTTGAATAATGTATTGTGTTCGTATATAGCAAAAGCTGCTGCGAGTGTGTGAGTCCACATGTCGTCCGATGTGTGCGAGTGTGTCAGCAAGCAGTTGGCCTGTCAGCCGCCGTCAGAGGATGTGCTCTGTTCGATAGCATTCAGTCGTTTCGTTTGAGCGTTTTGGCATTTGCAGGAAATTAGTAGACCAAAATGAAATGAATTCTCAAAAAGAGATGCAGCGATACAGAAGAGGGAGGGAAGATAGGGAAGGATGAGCAAGGACGCAGATGACTTTGTGTGCAGTGAATTTGCTTACCTGTAGTTCTGTTCGTGTAATTCTTTGTTTGTTCGTTCGTATATCTAGACATTAATCTCACGGAAATTCAGAATATTTTGGCAAATTGCGAAATTGCAAACGGAAATTGTCGGTTGGCATTTTCTAATATCAGACAAACTAAAAATGATTGCATCTCTGCGCATTTACTAACAGATACGAGTATATGTATTAGTTCGCGCTGGTATTGGTGAATTGTTATAAATATGAAATTAAAATTCTCAGTTGATATAAAATTGCTCTGTTGTGAAATGGATTTCTCAAAGTGGTTTTATTCTATGCGAGTGATCCACCCAAATTCATTTGCTTCAATTTGAATTATTTTACAGAGACAGAAACTTTCAACAAATGCATCTGAGGGAAATATATTACACATTCTCTCTTGAGTCTTTGCAGATTACATTAATCGGAGACATATGCGAAGATCTGGTGCCTTAGTCGAATGAAGTTTTATGTGTTATTGTACAGTCTTATGTGTACCTACCGCGATAGTTTCTACTACTCAGCAATCGAACTTGTCTTCTGTCATTGACAAAACTATCGATTGCACGTTTTTCTGTCCGGCAACAGTCATGTAGTTTAACGAATTTTCTTGTGGGGAAATCTGGGACCACTGATAACCATGGGGAAATAGATTGGTCGTTGCCCTTTTGGGGATGTTGTGCCAAAACTACCTTCTTTGCCTTCCCTGGCCAATACTCGGCGACACAGTCTCTCTGCCACCAAAAAGTTCAAAACAAACTTTCGCTTCTTTTTATGGCCGCTGTAAATTTAACGAGGGCCCACCTTCAATAGGCTCTCTCCCGTTCATCGCACTTCTTGGCGATATCAGCCTTTAATCCACGAGGACATTAACCATCTGGAAAGCGGCCTAGAACTTCTTTTCAATTTCCTGATAACATAACCACCCTAATGTGCCCAATGCTTCCAAATGCATTAGATGTTCTATCACAAACCGACATTTGTTTGTACAATTTGTGAAAAATACACATATCTGTAATGTCGAAAAACATTCGTATTGAAATTATTTATTTCCAGTATTAAATTTCCGCGCAGAAAGCAGTGTTGGGAAATCAAAAAAATAAAATAAAATAATAAAAATAAAACAAAGCAATAAATAAATAAAAATTGCAACAAATTCACAACGCAATTACATAAATAAATCAAAGTGAAAAACAAATAGCACAAATTGAATTAAAAACTAAAGAAAACAACAATAAATAAATAAATAAAATGAAATAGCGAAAAGCCGCGGAATTTTCAAACAAACAAAACAAATACCAAAATATACTAGAAACAATTTAGCGAAACAAAAAAGCAAACACAAAAGATTGTAGAGAGAAAACAGTGGCGGCACAAACGGGATACGAGAGGGGCACAGAGCCCTGGCGGCCTCAGAGCCTTAGAAAGGAAAAATAAATAGAAACAGGATAAAAGAGAAAAGTGGAGTCAATATTAAAAGGGAAAAAAGTTTCTTTTTTTCTTGACCCCTCCGAGTGTATTTCTGACATGAAATATGAAATAAAAGCTCCTCATGAAAATCCATCAGCTGTTCGGGTACGGCTTGATGTAAATCCATTTGGTGGAAAAATCAAGAAGCAAAACCACAAATTGGAGGAGGAGCTCGGCCGAAAAACGCTTCAGCGGCTACAAAGCACTAATTATATAGTTTTAGGATCAAATATGAATTTGATTTCGATGATATTCAGGTGTGTGTGAATATCAAATCTTCCGCTATTAGACACTTTATTGACAAATTTACGACTCAAAATCTCAAATCCGAAAATGTGGTCGTATGGACATATACTAGTGGTCTGATCTGGAGGGCTGCGGCAAATGGTCATTCAAATGTCCCACTGCATCTGCGTACCAAGTTTGGTTAAAATATCTCCAAAAGTTGAGGACTAGTGTGCTTATAAATCAACTCTGCTAATGATTCTGATAATTTCGGTATAAATTTTGATGGGTCTATCTCTTCTCCGCCTGGTACTAACTTAATTTGAACCAAAGTTGGTATACCATTTCGTATATAGTTATAAAGGAATACAAATATTCGGTAGAGAAATTATCGAAATCTCCTCCTCCTGCAAGCAAGTTCCATACCCTATCACTGTTGGAATTTTCAAATATTTCACAGCAAACACAGTTGAAGAATCGCCAGTCGCACTTTACGCCCGAGCAATAATTCACACATCGGTTCAACCGCTCAACTCCCACCAAGAAAAAAGTGTAAAGGAAACAAGAATATAAACTTTTTTGTTTGCATAGTTTTTGCTATGCAATGTTACATTTCCCGATTTTCCCTTCTTTTTTTGGTGTCGGTTTTTTTCCTTTTTCCTGTAAACACAATTTTAGTTTCGAGTGCTTCCCTTAGCGCCGCAGTTTTCTGTGTTTTTGGAGCTTTGGCATTTCAAATACATACATATATACATACGTGTAGCCATAATCACCTTCAGCCGTGTACATAAGAACATCTGAACAGATGTATAAACTCTGGAGAGGAAGTATCACTAGTTGAAAAATTTGTAAAAACTGTAAAACTAAAAAGGCACCAAAATTCTATAGGTCGCCCAGATAGGCTGCTAGAATACTATCGATGATAAAAAATTCATTACGTCTCACCATGAATGAACTGTAATCCCATAAAATGAGCAATGACACCCACAAAAGCTACGATAAATTCTACCGGGGGCTTTGGTTCCGGCCGAGGCTACAGTTCTGGAGAACACAATCTCGTTCACAGTAGAGTCGTGCCCGTCAAGCACATCAAGATTGTCCTATTTGTCCTTGACTACTAGAAAATCGGCCAACAAACGCTTCGGGGAAAACCGTACCTCTGGTAAGGAGTCAGATGTGAGGGACAGTCTGGTCATTTAGGCAGAATTTAATTCTGTGCTTACGTAGCTAATGTGAACGTTATCTTCATATGCGTCCGTGAATCTGTGGATGGTATACCAGTCTTGACGACACTCGAGATTGAGATGTCATCGAATTGGGTATCGGCTTAGATTTTTCCTCATTGCATCCGTGGGTGATGGAGTTTGACTGTAGTAGTTCTTCGACCAATACGGCCCTAAAGAAACTTTTGAATTACTCCGGTACTTCCGTTGGATTATCTTAATAGCATCTTCTCATGAAGAGTAACCCACCACAACACAGCTTCGTTCAGCGGTCTAAAGATCAGCCAGAGTTTCTTGTCTGCCCGACGAGACAAGGTTTTCCCGTCACTGAGGCACAAACATTTCTATATTACTTTTGCTCCCTTCGAGATTCTCTAGTAGGGTCCTCATGAGTGTGGCTCGTTTTTAATAACTCTTATTGACGTCGCTCCTGAAGATGATTTCGTGTCGCCAAGAGGTGTGATGATAATTCGTTGTAGTCCGCGTTGTTTCGTTGTGCTGTACATACTGTAAATACGTAGCATTGTGCAGCGGAAAGGCACTTCAGTGAAAGTGTTCACTCGTGTTCTTTTTTCAATCCAGATGGCACATGTAGCATGGTATATTTATGAGGTACAGCTAGCGGTAACAGTATGATTTTATTTGGTCATGCTTGTTGGCACGGCAGTGAGCTTTCAAGAGAGCAGCCTTCGTCTTTTACAGACTTTGCAAAAATTTGATTGCACCGGCAGTGCTAACAGACCACGGGTCATAAGAATTTCAGTCTATTTTCTGGATTTTATTTAGCTAGAACAACGCTCTGTCTCAAGCGTTGATTTCGCGTTGTATGGTATAACAACTACTTCGCCCTGTCGGTCTGCCCATTAATCTTGTATTAAAACTATTTTGGCTATAAATTTCGCGCAGATTTTTGAAATTGCCACCGCGAAATTTCCGCACAACCCCGTCTACCGCTACCCAGCAGCAGCTCTCGATAGCGTCGCACTCCACCCACCAAAAGTATACGGTTTCAAAATTATTTACAGTTACAGCGCACTGTGTTGGTCACACTTAAATAACTCTCTTCCAGCTTTGTTTACTGTAATCAATCTTCCCTCCTTTCCCTTGGCACTTTTCGGACGAACTTTTTCATGCTCGGAATTACACAAATTTAACACTCCTTTTGAAATCATACACTCTTACCGTTATATCTATGGTTTTTCTTATTGCTTGTTGCTTTAATTACTTCTTCCTATAATTTTTCTGTTCTTCTTCTGCTTTTCTTTTTCCAGAATTTACGAATCCGCTCCTTGGTCAGTGGAGGCATGGGGACGTCCGCTGGAGAGTTTCGCTTTGGCAACGACAAGGCTGGCCGGCGCTGGCAATAATTCATCTTTGAATGTAAGTGTTGCAATTTATGTCCTTATGTCCTTATGTACGAGTACAGTGGCGAAAATCCTTTTCTGCTCTATTTTTGCTGTTTCTGTTTTGCATTTTTGAGTTCAATAGTAAAAGGGGCGGTTAGCGAATGGGAGCGTGGTCAGTTGCGCAAATAGATCTTTCAAAGGCGATAAATCCTGGTAAGAAGCATATGGCCGTGGCACAACTAAGCGGATGTGAGAGATAGAGAGAATGAGGAGTGAGGAGGGAGGAAAGAGAAGAAAAAATTCTTCTTTAATTACACTTGAATTTACTTTTTAGTGGGATTATTGTTTGTTGTGTTGAACAACCACCAAAACCCTCAGAAAAAGCAGTGGAGATAATACTATAATTACCAAAAAGAATTTTATAGATAACTTTTCCCCGTGCGAGTACGCCTTCAGAGCCCATCAGCCCACAATGAGTTCACATTTAATGAAAGTAGAGTAGGAGAGTATTGACTGTGATAAGTTTGGCTAAAGTTTTTTTGAGATATCGAAACTCTCGTTAACAAGCACGGTAGATTAGACACCCAAAGATCAGGAAATAATTCGATTCGGAGAGCTTAGGTAGGCTTAGGTAAAGTATTCCTTTAAAGCTTAAATACAGAATTTCAGCCATTATCCCTGCTGGCCCATCCAGCTTAAATGTTTTCAGTCTTTTCAATTACTTTACTTAATTTCAAGCAAATACTAAAGCTAACTTCACATTTCTTGCTCACTTCGTGTAAAACTTTGACTGCACCGTTAATAACAATGCATCTCCTCATTTTCAGGGTCAACAGACGACAGTGTTTTGTGTGCGCTGCGGCACGACACGTGGTGTGCTGGTCTATTGGCTGCGTTCAGAGACGCATCGAGACATGGCTGCGTGGGCGCGCGCCTTAGTACAGGGCTCACACAATGCGGTCAACTATCAGCGTGAGTTCTCGTTTCGCTGCCTCTACCAGGGCAGGCAGTGTCAATTGGTTGTGCATTTGAATCGCGGCTTTTGCCTCTACGACTGCAGTGGCTTTGCGGCAGCAGCAGCGTCCGGTGTGGTTGTGCCGGCCAATCAGACCAAAACTCAGTTGTGGCAATTTCCGTTCGACAAATTGAAGGGCTCGGCGGACGATGGAATCAGAATGCTGTATTTGGATTTTGGCGACGATGGGGAAATTGTAAGTACAACTCTGCGGCCTTAGAACTAGGCCGCAACTCCTTTGATATATAATATTTGATTTAATTGTGAGACGCATTAAGAAGAGCTCCTACCGGGACAAAGCATGAGAGTTGAAATTATTTAAAATGTTTATGTATTTCACATTCTTGCTTTTTCCTTTGGTTTTCCTTTTGCCCTCGCTTCTCCGCATGGTGGGTAATTAAAGTTAATTAATTTAAATAACTTTCGTTTCATTTATACCTGATTTCCCGCATCTTAATTTTACCCTCCAACACGTGCAACACGCCGCTTCGCCACCTCTTTCGCACTTTCGTAATATTAATATTTCCTTTTTCAACTTTCGTCTTCCGCCAATTATTGTGCAACAAAGTGAAACGCATTAAATTTTCAATTAAAATTTCACACAACGCGCCCAACGGCTCCAGACGCCTGCCAACCGTAAGCAGAGCAGCGCAGAGCCCGTCAACTGTCATCGGCAGCAGCAGCGGCAGCGACACGGCAGAGGCCCTGATCTCAGCGCTGTACTCTGACAGCCGGTCTGCCATTCAGGTTAACGCTGTTGTTATAAGCTCTTTATATATATACATGTATGTATGTATGTAAGTATGCGTGTATAACGTTTAAGTGGCGCAGGCTGTCTTCTGACATGCTGACCCGACTTGCTTGTCCTCTTGGCCCCCCGTCGCCTGGCCAATTGCCCGGCACCTTTGTGCTCGTCAATGTCATAATCAATGAATGAATGAATGGGGCTTCCTCATTGCCCCACTGCTACACACTTTCACCCCTTTACATTCTGGGTGCTGCGTTACTTAAATTACACTTTCATGCTTCAACCCCAGCGTAAGCCCTTCACTGCGTCGCTTGTGCTAACGTTGCAATTAATTTTAAATCGGCCTTCACTTCGTTTCATGTCTTCCTTTTGCTCTGCTTTTCCGCTCGTCTTCGCTGAGCCGCTCAAATTGCTGCTATCTCAACTATCCGTCCGTCGGTGGGAAGGTTAGTGAAGGACGTGACAAGTGTGGCTCCGCTACACACTTTGTGGCACGTTGTCAACTGTAATTACAACTACTTTTCCTCACCGACACCTTCCAATTCGTGGGCTCACCATTTCTTTGCTACTCTGTGTGTCTTTACATATTCGATATGTTTAGTTGATAAAATTTAATTTTCTGGCTTAGGCGAGCGGTGTTCAGGGTTCGAGTCCTGGTTCAACCAACATCCGAAATTGTAGCAAATGCATTTTTCCAACTGTGATCGCCCCTCGCAGCGAATGTCAAGCTTAAAATAAAGTGTGGGTCCCTCCATTTGAAAAACCATCAAGATTCATACCACAAGTTGGAGAAGAAGCTCGGCCAAAAGTTGCTTCAGCGGTTGCAAAGCTCCAATTATATATGTTTATACAATTAGATACAATTTCGTATCGTGAGTCGTGGTTAATTCATGCTGCTCTAATACTTATTTACGAGTCTATATATAAGAAAATGGACGCTAGTTTCTTCGTCGTCTAGCGGGTAATCGTGCCCGAGTCCTATATTCTTCAATAGTTAGAAACATTCCTAATGTGAGGTTATGTAGTCGACAAGGAAATTTCCGCTCACATTAAAGACTTGATTTTTTGTTTTAACTAATTTAGTTAAAAATACATCAAACTTGATTTGGAAATTTTTACATTGTCTATTTCAGGAACTGGACATGGAATGCTGCCCCAAGCCGGTGGTCTTCGTAGTGCACAACTGTCTTTCAGCAAAGGTGCACTCGATTACCTAAGAGCAGCTGGAAGGGAGAGTTGCTGTGAGTCCAGTGGCAAATTAGCCTTTTGAAGTTGAGGTTAAGCCTCACTTGGAAGGGAAGAAAAGTACTTTGAAAACAAATTTAAACACAAGAATGAATATATTAGTGGCGAGTTGAGATAAATAAAGTAGTGACAATTTTTGTAATTTCATACCAAACGAGTGAAGCTTAAGAAATTAAAAACGAAAAACAAAAACAAAAACAAACAGTGCAATATATCAAATTTACCAAGTATTTAAGTATAAATTAAATATATTTATTATGGTAAGAGTATGTGTAGGGACGTAAAGATTACAGGTTACAGAGCTGGCGACGCCGCAATGTGACGATTAACTGTTCAGCATGTGTGTGCTTCCTTGTTTTGGCATAAGCGTGAAATTAGTCTTCAGAATTTATGACAAAAGATTCAGTTTGTGGATTTGGAAAATAGTTTGGATGTACATATGAACAATTTTCCCAGTATTTAACTGTATTTACCGCACTCTATACACTGTATTATACAAATGAAAATGTTCGCACTTTAAGCTAAATTAATATACAAATTAAATGACTTTTTAACTGAATTCTCTGCAGCGAAATGCGAATTTTCTTAGCGGACATCATTGAAACATTAATGAGCAGCTGAAAAAAATGTGAATTTTCGAATTAAAACGCACAAAAACAACAAATGGAAGGGATTAAAGTTTAGACATTAAAAATTAGATGTGGACAAAAAACTTTGTATGTATGGGTATGTGTTGACACACTTCCAAATGACATGTGTAAAAAATAAACCCTCTTGCGAATTTACATAATTAAATTGCACATACATTTGGCTATTGTTTAATTAACAAATACAAAGCAAACAAATAAACTGAGAGATAGATGAAGGGGGGGGGGGGGAGGGAGAGGAGGAGAGAGCACGCGCGCGAGGGGTTAAAGCCAAACGCTAAACACAATTAATATCTAGCAAACTTACATACATATGTACATGCACACCTACATACGAGTGCATACATACATACATACAAAAGTAAAATTTTGCCAATTTGTGTTGAAACAACAGCAACAATTCAGAAATATTTATTTATACGTTTGTATTGTTTGTATATAATACATACATAAATACAGAATACAATGCCCAACAAAACAACCGAGGATAATAATTAAATTTAATATGAAACAAAAAATACCACATTTACATACATTTATTACATAAAAAGCAAAAAACAAAAAGAAAAACAAAAAATATGAAATATAAAATATACTTACAATATAAAAGAATTAAAAATAAAAATGATATTAAAATTAAAATTTAATATATTTGAAACATATCTCTCTCAACTGCAACTGTACACATATACACACAAAAACACTTAACGATATTAATTACGTTTAGACTACGCATCGATTAAATCAAACATATGACATAGGCAAACTCGAAAAAAGTTTCAAAATTAAAGCCTGAAAGAATGTTAGAAAACTCAAAAAAAAAATAAGTAACGGAATTGGCATTTTTGGCAGTAAAAAGTATATATAAATTAGTGAACTGTTTTTTCTAATTGCATGTAAGTTTCGCTATACATATGTATGTGTATCTATATGTAAGAAAAACGTAAACAAAACTTAAAAATTAATATTTCAATATCAAAACCAATTCTATTTTAAATGAAATATTTAAAGTCACACAAATACAATACAAATAAATAGAAAATAGTAATAACAAAATAAAAAATGTCTTTTTTGTCGAATGAAAGAACAACAATTTAGAGCGTATAAAAATCGACTCATTACAAAATAATAATAATGAAATGTAAATACTTTTAGTAGTGTCGATGATTATGGCAGAATGCAGTATCATGAGTGTGCCGACGAAAACAATTAAACAATTGTCTGAATTGTGAAAAAAGATATTATTTATTATGTACTACACTACTGTATACAAAACCAAACAAATCGTAACCAAAAACGACTTTTTGTGCAATATCTCTCTAGAAAATAATAGAATAAATCAACATACAAAATATTTAAATTAACTATTATGATGGTATACATAAAATAAGAAATAAAAAACAATTGGAAATTGAAAATGCTTTTTTCATTTATACCTCGCGTAGTTTTAATATGTTTTATATTTTAATTTATTTATTATAATTTTAATTCTTACAGTGAAACAATAACATTGCGTGTGCATCGGCCTGCGACTGTTGTTGTTGTTGTTGTTAAGGCAGCCATCGCGGCAGCCCAACATTATTGGCATTGTTGTTGTTTGTGTTCGACTAATTCGTTCGTGATTGAAAATCACACGTTCGTAGTAAGAAAAAACAGCAGGCGCTCAGCGTTTAACAGCAGGTGCTGATGTTAAGCAAGAAACTAAAATGCTAAATGCGAGTGATAATGTTATGTTAACAGTTACTAATGATAATGTTAGTGCGCAATACCCACTAAACCATTCGTCTCGTTTTCCAGTATATGCAATTGTGGTAAAAATGTATAATAGTGCATCTATTGGGAACGGATACATCGATTTGGCTCAAATTGTTTCTGTTGTTACTTTTACCAGGCGACGTTTTTAATAATGATAAAATAACTTTTTCATAAGGTGGAGCAGTGATCGATTTATACCAACAAAAAACCTAATTATGGTTCGAACAATTGATTTGAGCAGTCGCCGGAAACCTGCTTTAATTGTCTTGAAATTTAATCCGTTTCAAAAAAGTGAATCAGCAGCACAAAACGGATAGAAGGCGCTTTGTAACCGCTTGAGGTGATTGTCAGCCGTGCTCCTCCCACAATTTATGGTTTTGTGGCTTATCTACGCTGTCGTTGAGCGATTGCATTTTTATGAGGAGCTTTGGTTTTTTATGTTAGAAATATTTTTGGAGAGGTAGTATGCGCTGCTAATCTCTCGGCTATTGCGGATAGGACTACTCTATGTTATTTTTAATGGTTCTTTATGCATATTTCATATTGAAATCACAGCTTTCTTTATTTTAACCCTTTCTCGAAAGGCCATCAGAAATCGAAACTAATGCAGTTGTAGAAACTCCTGAAATAATTACGATCTTTCCAATCGGGCCTCATTATTTGGGCTCGAACCAGCGTTTTAATGGCTAACATTTTGGATGACATATAGATTGTGCTTCATTCACTAACCTTAATTGACTTTCAGAGTACCCTAAAAGCCGCCTACGGAATGCCTTAAATTCAAAGTTCGATTTTTTTACCTCAGTTTTCTTATTTTTCTTCTTTCTTTCTTTGACGATTTTCTTTGTAGCTTAATAAAATTTTGGAACTTAAAAATTCGTTGATTGTTTGCTAGTGGGAAGGGATGAAAACCATATCTATGTATGTATGTATGTAATTATACACACATTTTCTTATTGGCAGCATAATGCCAAAAAGAAAAGTTAGAGTAATAACAGTTGTTGCAATCCACTTGGATAGTTAAGAAAAAGCTCAACCGAAAGACTCATTAAGGTTTTCATCAGAATTTTTGGTTATTTGTATGGTTTTTAAGGCCAAAAGTTTGACGAGGAAGATGCTCAGACGCAACACATTTTATAATTAAAATTACAAATCCTCTTTGCAGATGTGTACATACGAGTATACATATGTATGTATGCATATGCTTACATATATTTGAATACCACAACTTAAAGCTCATGCTCTTCTTTTTATGAGCCTTCCAATTGTGGTGGGACTTTTCAAGAAATTCGCTTGATGAATTTTCAGCTTTTCATTTGTCAACCGCAAAGGCAAATACAAGTTCAGTAGTCAGCCCAACGCGACAGACACACATAGTGCCGATCTAACTGGGCGGTCTATAACATTCAACTCAGTGGAAATGCAAACCAATGCCTGCAAAACGTGAAGTAGAAAATTTTAAAATTAATTCAGCTCTTCAAATCCAACGTAAACACGCCGCAGTGACACACAAACGCACAGAGAAAGAGTACGAGGTACGAATCAGCCTTAACAGCAGTCTGCACAACATCACACACAGCAACTAGATGTATTCGGCGCTCTTAAAATAATTTTTTAAATAAATTAAATTATAAATTTTATTTAACAGGCAAACAGCAAATTACTGCCAGTGGCCACGGAGCAGACACCGGGAAACACTGTTGAATGAAATGGCCTCAAAGAATGTAGATAGAGAAGGCGAAAGTGTGAGCACTCTGCAAGCAGATTTTAACAGCGAAGATGACGGCGGCAGCCGTACCGATGAGACGGCGCGGTGCGTCACGAACACGACAGCGACTCGCTGTTCAGAAGCCATGGCGTGAGAGGCGTGTGTCATTCAGGCACGTTGTTGTGATAAAGCGAGCATACATATGTATGTACGTGTATGTAGGTATGCGAGTTCAGGTAGGCCGTCGTCGCCAGTGAGCAAAGTGAAATTATGACTTCAGAGCGACAGACTGCATGCAGATAAAGCGAGCCAGACATCAACGTACATAGGTGTGTATGGGAAATGCAAATAAGCGACAAGGTCGGATGACCACTTCTGTGCCGTTAAAGAAGTATCAAAAGAAAGTAAATGTGAGATTTTACTTCTGGCCTATACCGATAAAAATACAGTTAAAAGGCGAATCAAAATTTTAAAAGATTTTATTTGACCAAAAAATAACAAAGGTTTTTTTTGCTGTTGTGTTTTGTTCTTTCTTGCTTTCAGTAATTTCTTAATATGCTCTAATGCCATTCGATGAGTTTTTTCTTCTCGGAAATACGAATTTAAGCTTTAATTTAGCTTCATACAAATGTATGTGTGTTGCCTGAACTAGTTGCTTTTTCGGAAAATTTCAAAGAGAAACTGTAAATATATTTCCGAACCGATCGGATGACGATGGATGTCAAAAAGCAAATGCTTTCGTTTATCTCCCAATAGTACTTTTGTGGTGGCTATCTGCTCTTCATCACTCCATCCGTACACTCTCTCCCTCTCTCATGCTGATAAGGTGCTTTCCGTGTGTGATTTCCACATTTTTGGTGTATTCGTAAGAGGCGGGGGTAGCTGGCGTCATGAATTATGTGAGTGATATTTGTGCACTAGTTGTTGGTGTTGTTGCTGTCGGCTTTGAAATATTTATTTTAAAGCTTTGAGGTTGTTATTGTGCTTTATCTTGTTTTGGTGCGACACTCGTTGTTGCTACTATATTTTTGTTTTTTTCTTTTAGTCGCTCTCACTTGCCAGCGCTGCTGTGGCCCTGCTACTTAAAACAGTTTCAGAGCAACTTACGAAAAAAGTGAGAGTGGCTTTGCTGCTTCAAGGTTATAAGGGGAATCGTCTAAATTACGGTAGCTTGATTTGGGAAATATTGCAAAGCTTGTGGATTTTGAAGCACCAGAACTAAAGGGATTCACATGCCATTTTTTAAGGATTGACTGTTGATTGTGCTGAAATTAATCTTTGCCACATGGTTATCTGTGTATGTGGTTGCTTTCTGTATCTTCTGTCCTTTTCCAATGAAGCTTCACCGAACCATTATTTGCCTAGTACTTCCGCTTGAACGATTCTAACTTGGTTTGGTGGAGGAATTGAGAGAGAGAGATGTCGAAGACCTTGAAATATATCTCCTTCCCTACACCCAGGTCCATTTTAGACCCGCCGATAGCGGGGCATACACTATCGCTAACTAAACCTCTTCTCCATTCTCGTCTACAGAGCATCCACCTCTGGAAGAAACTATTGAAATTCAACATTGGAAGGATATAGTCTGATTTATTTAAAACTCTTATAAGCTGGCTTAGATGTGTCCATAACTCCTGGATTCCAACCGCACAACTCCTTGATTGCTATAGCAGAACATTCTACAACAAGTATTTTGAAAACTGAACTGAGAACCTTCATGATCTGGGATCCATTGAGCTCTTTCAACTGAAAATCAATGAAATATGATAATTAAAATAATATTTATTTGAATTGAAAGATTATCAACTCAAAATCTTGTAGTTTAACTTAACGCGCGCACGATTTTACTCCACTCGCACCACACGCCCCCAGCCCCCACACTTATGAAATTTCCAAATCATCCGCAACCGTTGAAGTACTTCATCACCGAACCATGAATAAATCTTTTTCTCTGCGCCAAACTTAAAATCCGACATTTTTTATGCTCCTCGTTATGCGTCGAGCACTAAGCGAGCAACTATTGCAGATTATTTTGTTTTCGAACTCCAACTTGACGGTCGGAGCAGCAGCGGCGAGGAGAGAGAGAGCCCGGGGGTGCAGAAAAAATTGCAAATTTCCACTTTATCGATGCATTAAACTTTTATTACATTAGAACTCGGAAATAAACAACGAAAAAATCGTTGTAAAATCGTTAGCAGTTAAAATCGGTGGAGAGAAAAAAAGAAAGTCGACGAGAATAAAGAAATATGCGAATGAGAAAATCCATTAAATCGTCAATGGGGGAAAATGCAATGCAAAACTATTGAGCAGCGAAAGAACGAATGAACAAATCAAAGTATTCTAATTTATATAAGTGTTAAAGGCAAAAATGGGCAGGGCGGACGAAGCAGCAGAAGAAGAAGAAGAAGAACGAGGGACAATGCAAAAAAAAAAGTGGAGAATGCAGTAATGATGGCGAACATAAACCAAGGCGACCAAATGCAGTAACAACTAAAACACTAACAAAAACTACGACAACAGCAATAACAGCAAATCCACACGAACTCATTCCTTACAAAGCGAGCACAAAAAGGAAAACGAAGAAGTTTTGTTGCCAACAACTCGAAAGTTTAACGCTCGATTGCATATGGCAACCCACAGGACCTCACCGAGCTTCGGACCACCACAGCCAGCAAAGCGGTGGACACTCAGCCGCCGACAAGTACTTATGCCATCATCTACACGTGTGTTTGTATGTACATATGTACATGTGTGAATTTGTGAGTGGGTAAGTGGATGAACGAATGCATGCAGACCATGGAGCTTTAGAGCAAATAAGTAAGTATAAAGAGTCCATTTTGTATCGGGCTTAGATCGCCTAAGTTGCTGTTGGCTGCTTCAATGTGTGCGGCACACCTCGAAGGGTGTTGAAGTGGTCTACACTTCCGCAAGCTCTGTTCAGTTGATTGCACAGTTGAAAAGTGAGGAGTCAGCCAGCCAGCCAGTCAGCCAGACAGGCTTCCATGAAGTTGGAATGTGGTATGTGGTGCACAGTATTGAATGTGGATTGCGCACGGGCTGATCGGTAAGTGCATAAAGTTGCAAATAACGAGAGCTGAGAGTGAGCTGACATAAACGACAACGACCAAGCGATGACAACAAATCGGTCAACTGGCATTAATGCGACTGGCAATCCAAAAAAATGGGCAAGGAATGAAAGTAACGAAAAAACATAGAGAGTTTGTAGTTAAAGTCGTGTCTACTTGTTTGGTTTGGTTGTTGGTGGGGGTGGTGCGCCACTCTACACTCAGTACCAACCACCGGCCAATTGATCTTCTCCAGTGACACACATAAACCCAAATGAAATGGAACGAAGTGACGCGGAAATGATTTTGAATTGCATTCTGGTCTACAAGCTTATGCGCGGAGTCCAGCATAGGACTCAATACGAAGCAGATGGAACTATCATTTTAGATCATTTAGTTGAGTGAGTTGCTTCAAATAAACATGAAATAATTTGTTGGGCTTCCAGCGCCAAAGTAAGAATTTTCAAACGGTTGCAACAGTCATCATAAATCCACTTTCAAAAATTTTCAACTCTTCCGTACCATTTTAACTAATTTAGTAGAAGGTCGATCGTATTTTGGATTGCGGTCGACAAAGGTTTTCCAAGCACACTTTCTGAAAAAGGCAAAAAAACGGGCTGGTGGAAAAACGACAAGACAAAAAATCTTACCACCTCCAGAATTTCCGAGTTCCGGATTGTTTGGGATCAACAATGATGAGATTTATGAGTCTTCCCAGGAAGCCTATCATATTTTTTCTGTTCTCGACTCGAACCAGTAAACGCATAAGTTTCGGTTTGATTCGGAACTAGAATGTAATTATTATTCTTTATAATATTAATTTTAGTCTAACAAACAGATACACATACATACGTACCCACAAGTGCACATATTTATTGAAAACGTGAGAAGAATTAGTAAATTTCCACTAGCTAGTCAACGCCGTCGGCTCTGAGTGGGTGTAAATGACCGTCCGACGTGTTAAGGTGACCATCGCAAGCCGAAAGCGAGCTCGGCAGAATTAAGCTCTGGCTAAGTTTATTTATATTTTCTGTTCTTAATATTTAAGTATCTTCTATGCAATTCAAAGTGTGATTAATTTTTAATATTTTTGGCTCCACCCAAACATACACGTCCTAATACAAATACATTTTCTCAGCTGGTTTATTCCTAACATTGTGTGTGTGAGTTAAAAACAATATGTAAAATAACACCTACATGCATACATATAGTATACACATTTATACAGGCATTACAATTTCCGGTAAACGAATGGCAAAAATACGCGTTCAGCTGCCAACTTTCAGACGCACACATCCACACGAACTCAAGGAATACCTGAGCGAGGCGCTCGAACTATCGAATGATTCATCAAATAAAAAAAAATTAAAATTAATTTAGAATAAATTTCAATCGAAATCAAAACAAAAATCCCCATTGGTCATTGCCAGGGTCAGGAGAACATTGGCTGATGAAATATCAAGTGGCTGGCAATGTCTCCCTACCCAGCTGAGCTCAGCTAAGCCAACCTGTCGGCGTTATATTTCGATATAAATTGACGTTTATTCGGAGTAATAAATTAGTACAAAACTATTAATTGAAGCAACACTACACAACAAGTACCTCACGAAGCCTAAAATGTCGTTTAAACTGTGGGGTTTCGTTGCGTTAAGCGTTTTACTCTACGCCTCAGCGCCAGTACGAGCTGGAGTGCTCCGCACAGAGGCACCGGCTGACACTCCAACCACAGCAGCCGCAGCAGTACAGCTGGAGACCACAACAGTCCCCCTACCTGTAGGTGAGGAAGTAGCGGTAAGTCGCGATGAAGATGCTACCGTAAAGATTGCCGTGACCTCCTTAGATCCCGCGCCAGGCACAATTGAGGGTATTGAGATAACGCTAGATACCATAAACGTCAAAAAGGATGAGTCAAAGGAAGGTGAAAACTCAACAGATAAGGCAGCGGTGGCTGGAGAACAAATAGAGGAAGAAAATAATAAGCAAGAAAGTGAAAGCAAACCTGTAGTTGCACTCAGCAGAGATACAGCTGCAAGCGTGCAAATAAAATCACACGAAGTTACAGATCTAGCCAAGGAGGCACCAGCCAATAGTGCAGAAACGCTTCCGGGAACGCCAAACCAGAAATCATCGAAGCTACTATTACTGAGCACACCGCGTCTAGCGCGTGAGCAGGAAGAAAATATTGCTGAGCCTGAAGATGTCGATATCAACACCGCGGTTTCCACCGACGACACAACCGAGCTAAGCACTGAGGAGCAAAGTGCAGATGACGTCAAATCCAGTGAAGAGAATGAAAAGGATGGCTCCGGTCGAAAACCCACTACGGAAGAACCCAGTTTTTTGATACGCGTGCGCGATGCAATCTTTGGCAAGAAAGAGGAAACAACTAAACCTGTTGCTCCGGTTGATAATGAGGAACAAAAATCAAACGACAAAGCGTTGAAAGAAGATAAGGCGGAGATCAAAAGGGACGATGAGACCGCACTCCCAGCCGCAGCAGAGCATGCACCCGAGCCGCATAACGACAATTCGGCAACTGCAGTGCTTGTTGAGACCGAGGCTGATTACGTGCTCGTCGATGCGGATGTGGAACACTTGGGACATCTCGGCAGCTTCACGCATGCGGATAGCGCCGAGTACTTGCAGCCGATAGTGCACTCGGTAGAGGTGGTGCCTTCACATTTTGAGGAGCCTCTGCTCTTCACAAGCGGCTATGTGCATGCTTGGTAGTTGAGCGGGGGAGCTAACGCAAGGAGTATTGTTAAATTAATTTTAGTGAATATTTCATACTTCTGTGAACTACATGTGTATAAACTCTGATCTGCTTTCTGTCCTAGTTGTAGGTTTTACATTTTATGTAGTGTTAATCTTTCATTTGCAAATTGACGAGTTTTGTTTTAGTTAAAACGAATAAAATATATATATATATATATATATTTTTTTTATAAACATAAACCATCAATGTGTGTCCATTTGGCCCCTACCTCATCGCTCCTCGCCTCGCCTCAACAAACCGTATGGAGGCAGACTCAATCCAATTTCGCGCACCTTGTTGGCTTACACAAATATTTAGTTACCGTTAGTTGGTTTCCGAGCTGACGTACTCGGCAATGCGAAATTGAAATTTTTCCAATTGTGTGAATTTTGCAACCACAAAGTGGATTTGCACAAAGCTCGCTTGGATGTCAAGTAACACCTGGCACATCCATTGGCACTCACACGATGACTGGGCAGCTGGCATCGCAAACTCAATCTCCAGCTAAAAAGTCTTATTTTGTGTGAAATTAGAGCTGCCAGAGCTTGTAGTAAACGTAGACGTGGATATTACATATCCTTTCAAGCAAGTTCCAGAATAAGATTCTGGAAAAGTGCTGTTGTATTGCAGCTTCTCCCCTTCCTCTGGCTACGAAAACCCAGCACTGTTAGAATTTCGCATTGAATTTACTCGGTTCTGAAGACTTAATACATTTCCGTTGGTCCTATAACGCAGAACCGCGCTGGTTGGCAACTCTATTTCTACTTCCTCGCTCACATATTCACTCTCTTGCCACATAACATTTATCTTGCTTTTCAACGAATACTTAGGTGACACATTTTTTTGCCACTTGTTTTTCGCCAGAGCACAGGATAAGCAATTTTCAGTTCAAACACTTTGACGACCACCAAGCCAACGGTCGCACAGCTATACTCTGCCAACGTGTAAATGTGGAAAGTACATGGCTGTGGCTGCATAAGTTTGCACTAATGTGACCAGGATACCGCCACAACAAGAAGCACAGCGGCCAACACGGCGTCAGGAGAGCAGCAGCATGAAGCCAACTGTTTGGCGAAACATAAGCACAGATCAGAGGAGGTTAGCAGCGCTGAAGCTGCTCAAACCCTCCTTACATGTGCAGCTGCTGGAGTATATGGATGTGGGAGGACTACGCGCAGTTGGTTGGCTCTCTTGTGTTTGCCTGTGCCGGTGATTTGGTAGAAGATTTAGCTTAAATGGACTTGAAAATAGTTTTCACGGCAGTGATGAGCCCAACCCTGGGCGGAACGCCAGGGGAGACGAGAAACTAGTAGTCGCGGTTCCGCTTGGGTTTTAGATTCAGAATACATTCAATAAACTTGAGCACCTACTTTTGTAAGTGCATACACGCTTGTGTATGTACATCTTGCATGAGTGAGTAAGTTGTTCGGCTCACAAATATATTTGAGAGGGGAAATCAGTCCTTTCTTAGCCCTGGTATACCCACCCAACGCAGCGACAACTGTTGACGGCTAGCAACAATTGTCCTCCCTTGGTAGCAGCTTTTAAATAGTAAGTTGCCAAGCTTCATTGAGTGTGCAAATCCGCGAAAGTGGTGAAAATGTGAAAATGTTTTGGCAAAGTGATGAAATGTGCCGCGGTGCAGAAGCGGAGGCAACCACGCGGCCGTAACTTCAAAGTAGCGTTAAAGTGGCTGTGCTGGGCCGTGCCGTGGAGCCCCGAAAGACGTCAACAGCAGTACCTTTAAAAGGTATGTATGCTGAAAATTCCATATGTTTTGGCAACATAAGTTGATTCCGCGCTTTCACATGAGGCTGAAGCTACGACCGGGCGAGCTGCAGAGTTGCTGATTAGTAAAGCAAGGGAGCAGGGAGGAAACACGTGCTTGCCAGCCATGTATGTTTAAGGACACATAAATTCCCATATGCATGGGTGTGTGTGCGCCTCATATATGACAACACATTCTTTAGGTATGCCAGTGTTTAGAAGCAAAGGGAACTCGGAGGTTGGGGCAGACAGTAGAACAGTACAAAAGAGCTGTAATTGAATTCTCATGAAGTTATAATTTCTGAGCAGCTGTATATGTATGTGTGGGGAAAGTGATAACTAGAACGCTTTGCTATCCTCACTCTCAGCGGATGAAATTTGTGTGGGCCAATAAATTTGGGCCTGGGATTCAAGCAGAGCTCAAAGTTGAAGAGTGAAAAATAGTTAAAGCTCAAGGAACATATAGAAATGCGGATTATAGTGCAAAGATTTTATAATTCGCTGTCGAGGAAACGAGTGATATTTATATCGAGCTGTAATTTCGGAGGTATTCTCTTACCTGAACTACCGACTGATATTTATAGTACAAATCACATCAAGATACACCAGTGTACAGAGTTTCCGAGCTCGTGAAGTTCGACAATTACTTAGACGGTTCGAATGTTTACAAATGACATCACCTTGCTTATTTAGTGAAGTTCTCTCTCCAGCAACTCCTTAGTTTATACACCAGTCGCCTTTTTAACTTAGAAATCACAATTTTATGAAGTGGAAACGAGCATTCCAGACTTTTTAGTAGAATTATAAAGCTCTTTCAATATAGCTAAAACATAGTATAAAAGAACTGCTGCAATTTATGCCACAATAGGCGTTATTAAAAGATACAATTCCGAGCTCTCTTCATTCGTTTACCGTTAAATTTTATTATTTCTTACAAATAATAAAAATGTCAGCCAATCTAAGAGACATTCAGGTATTTAATTTCATTTCCTCTTACGCCACAGATTATCAAATGCAAAGTGCTGCTGACGATTTCGTATGGCGTTGCTTAATAAATAGGACATTCTGTCTTCCCTGGCTGGTTCCCTCGGGCCAAGACAAATAAATAGCAAAGCAACAGTTAGTTTGTGAAATGGAATATATTTCATACTAACAAGTCATGACAAAAATTTAATTTGCAGGCTCACAAAAGATATTTCTATGCTGCCCACTCTCCCACTCTCCCGCTCACTCAGCCATCCACCCAGCAACTCTCCGTCTCTGACCTGCTCATTTTGTTTTAATATTCGTGGTGGAAAAAATAACAAAAGTTTCGAAAAAGTTTCCATGATTGCTGCGAACTTCAACACCCGCCTTGCTATTTGCAGCATATCATTGTTGTTTTTGTCGTTGCGACTGGCTTTTATCAGTGTTGTTTGCGAAATGTCCTTGCGGCAAACATTTATTGCTAAGTACCACCAAAGTGCATTTAATCATTTCCAAAGTCCCCACTTTTCTGCTTCACCACACACACCTTTCCACTGGACGCCACCGCTGGCAGAGCTGCGCTACTCCCGGCATAGCTCACACACCTACACAGTCGGTCTTCGCACTCTCTTCTGGTCCTACACTCTCGCTGGAAATCTGAGAATGCAAAATAATGATAAATAATGATTTTCCGTTGTCGCAACGACCTCTGGTGGAAGGTGGCACCATACTGGGCAACAGCACTAAGCTGTCTTTACCAACTGTGACAATAAAATCGTAATTTCGCCACCTCACTCTCGTCAACTCACTACGAGTTCAAACAATTCACGCAATTTACATTGGCCCATAATATTCACCCACGCAACCGAACCGTTACGTACTGAGCTCAGTACAGCACATAATCATTATAAGACGAAGCTGCTGCTTTAGAGTTGTTGGCGCTTGGTTGCGGGCTGAGGTGGAGCTGTTCATTGCCATTTCTTGGAATTTTTAAGCTTGGAATTTTTAAGCTTCTTAAGCAGAGCAAACAGCTGCTGCAAACAAGAACATCTTAGAATCTCCGACACAGGGAGGCAGAGGAGAGGGAGCAGTGGAGGGTGAATATTACACCAGCGGATACCAACAACAACTGTAGCCATCACATTTCCCTAGAAGACAACGAACACACCCAGGATTCGTATTTTGTTATTGTTATTCTGCGTCGCACTGCATTAAAAGAGTTTGCTTTCAGCGCCATTTTAGCCTTATTAGAAGATACTTTACAAAATTTGAGTCTTCCCCATGGAACGAAGTAAGATGACCAGCACTTCCTGTGCAGCCAGGAGAAAGCTTGAGACATCAGTGCGGCGGTCGCAAGTAACTTCAGGTAAGAAAGAAGAACAAGACAACGGGCGTGGATTAGGCTTTGGTCTTTGAGTAGTTAGACGTTGTGGATCATGAGTGCAATCACAAAGGGGATAAAACATGCAAATGTCAGTTGAATTTGAAAGAAAAATAGTAAATAAACTTTGTCAGAGAACTGAGAGGAAGTGCCGAAGAAGAAAAATAGTCTTACGTTATGATTTGGTTAAGGAGAATTAGGCATCAAAATCATATCATTTTCTGCAGTTAAAGAGATCGATAGGGAATCAGAGAGAAGGCAGTGTCTCTAAAATGGCTACAACCGGAACTTCTCACTCTAAAAAACCATTAAGAAAAATCTCTGTTGAAAGAAGGTTTTCTACACGAAGCGTGTTGGATCTCTTCTCCATAAAAGTTAAGCTCACAACAGCGAAGTTTCTATAGAAAGGGAACGCTAATAAAAGACGAGGGAAGGCTCTTTGAAAGAGAAGGTTCATCGGGGAGAATTCCGTTTGTTAGTCAAAATTGGCATAAGGTTCCTAGTCTGTTTTCTTTTAGGCAATGGGTTGAAGTAAAGGAAAATAATTACTGATAGGGAGTCAGAAATCCTTCGTGGACCGTATGTAGCATGTTTTTGTGAAACCAGGCTTTGTGGAATTCGCACTTTCTCTTCAGGAGCTCACGTTTTGCGTGACTAAACTTTCCACAGCTTCAATAACACATCTTCACTAGCGCAGAAGTCTTTCCGGAGAAGACGACGGCCGAGAAACAAAATAAAAACGCCAACGCACAGAGTCGCATGTGAAAAAAGTTGCCGTTTGCATTAAAGCGGATTTCAGAAAATCTCTTAAATAAAATTAATGCGCATATTTGCACAAAAGTCGACATGGCGAGCTCACACCAGAGCACAGCTAAAAACATTTCGCGCTCAAAACGCTTCTCCTTTACCACTTTGCCTGTTCAGAGCTCAAAACAGGCAAAAAGAAAGCGAAAAAACATCTGAAATTTATTCGAATATGTCCACCTTGCTTTCCATTTCGTTTTTTCCCTCTCTTTTATTTCTTTTGGTCTTTAACTCATTAATTTTGTGTGTACTTTTTTACGTTCTAGTCTGCTATAGCTTTTTCTCGCAGATTTTTTTTAGCCACCGTTATTTGGCTCCTCGTTCGTGTGTATGCGAGGAGAAGCTTTCGTTTTTTTGCCCACTCCCCGGGCGACGCTCCCCTACCTTCGCCGACTCAATGCCTTTGGCTTTTGTGCCTCTAATTGTAAATGCGGCTACGTGTTGATTATATGCCAAATGCCAAATGCCAAATGCGTAATGCGAAAAGGTTAAAATGCCATTTCGGCCATCAGTCGCGTCGACGGTGAGCTGACGATGCACAGAGATTTATGCGGCCCGCCGGCTGGGAGTTGACGCCTCATCCTTCCACTTCTAGCCTGTTTGGAGAGGATTTGTGTTATATACTTGTATGTGTTGCTACATTTAAGGGTCTTAGGCAAGCTTTGCTTTGTGCCGCGTTAAGTGGTTTAAATATTGTAAATACTCTATTAACCTCGCAAATTGCAGCTGAACTGGTGACACACATTTCTCTATTCGGCTTCTTAATTGACTTATGCGATAATTTATATTTGAATTTTGTTTTAGGCTCGCTATTGACTGCCGCCTGCAAGCATTTAGCGATTGACTTCGAAAGAGGGAGTGGAGAAGAAGCACGGGTTATACCACCACTCCTATGAAGATAGCAGTTATCGAATGAAGGAACCTTTATTTGGCTGGGCACCGGCCATTCCATAGACCACTCTAGGATATTTGACAGCAGCACCTGCACAGCTTTTCTTAACGGGAAGAGGCAGAGAGAAAGACAAAAACAAAATCTACTAGACGATACTTAGAAAATGCTAAGAAATAGAACCTTCTATAGTAGAAAGAGACCAAGGGGAGTTGGAGAACAAGCGGAAACCATGACATACTGTTGTTGAATTCCACAAAAAGGCGAGAAGTCTCTCCATCTTTATACGTCAGAGTAGTGGGTTTGCTTCCCGTCAATGTGCTTCATGAGCGCCACTTGAATAATATTCTCTCAAAATACAAATATTTGCAATTACCGACTTGCTGATACAATAAAATCTGCATGTAATTGGAAATCCTAAGTACTGAATTGGACGTAAGCGGCTTATGTGCGGAAAAGGAGGTGGTGAAAACGGGAAGAAGAGGCGACGGTCAACTGGGCAACAATTGTTATCCCATTCTACATGAAATTGCAAATTCAACAGCTGCTGGCAGTGCGGACGAACCAATCCGACTACAACTACAATATAAACACATACTCAGCTCATGAGTATCGGCCAGCGGGTATGTGTATTTTGGCTCGTCCACCGATACCTTGGAAAATGTATACTTAAACTCCAATTCGGTGTTTGGAATTTTGAATTTTTTTTTTAATTCCTTTAGTTGTCCGCCACCAATTCACGGCGCACCACTTCAGCAAACATACGTACATGCGTGCAAAGGCAATTGTGGACATTTTCGCCGCTTTCCGCCAAGCTACGACATGGTCAATTTACACTGACAACAAGCTTTGGCTATAAATCCACACTAAGCTGTGCTGAAATGTTTGCCGCTGCTGGGTAATACACACCAGGGCTAGTATTGCTCTGGGTCGGTCGTTGGGGGTGATCCGAAATGGTAACATGTTGCAAATGTCCGAACACTTTTTAAATCCACTTTGTGTTGCTGCGGCGATGAGTACTCTTTGCAGTCAGTGGATTTAAGTGTAACCCTTTGGTTCTGCCCCATGCGCTGTTACGGCTTACAATAGAAAGTAGAGTATGTAAGGTTTAGATGAGAAAGCCGGAACATAAATTCTTCTGATTATATAAGGAGCTTCGACAATTCACTCTTTCCATAGGCTGTGGACAATTCTCATTACTATTAGTGTGTTGCCAGACATGTTCAGACATTTTTTCTGAGTCGGATATGTCACAGGTACTTCCTGATCATATCTTCCAGTGATCTTTTGATATCTGACTGACTCACTTCTAGTAGTTCTCTCCCTGGAGAATATAGCAACGAACTTCTATTTGTTTTGATATTCACCAGAAAGTAGAACAAGCCACCACAAATCTGTAAGGGCAGCAGCGACTAGCCTTGTGCTTTAATTAACTATCCGACAAGAGTGTATGCCCAGCGAAACCTACACGCACCCGCGCCAACGCAACGAGTAACACGCACACTGCCATCTATGTGCTTGGTAATTTGGATCGTTTCTGCTGCGGCCATGCAGGGCAGAGTGATATACAAGGACGAAGATGTTGAGGGTAGTTAAAGCAAATGGTTGGAAGGGCTGTGACACCTATTCCCGCGCACTCAGCCACAACCTCGACAACACTTTGGGTTAAGCTTGCAGTAGAAGAAATATAGGCAACGTTGCAATATTGAGAATGTGGGAGGGAAACAGATACAACGCAACCGACCACATGCCTCACAGCCTTATAACTGGTAAACTAACTGCTGCAGATCTGCCTCCACCTCAGCGATGAAACTGACGGATATGCAGCCAAGCGCACCGTCAGTTGTTTGCCACATAGTTCAACTCTGGCAGCGAGCCATGCTGGCAACGAAGCAAAACTGCCTGCTTGACATTGTGGCAGTGGCAATGAAAAAGGTGCCAGATTACTCACCTTAGATACGGTCTGGCGTATGGCATGAAAGAACCCCCCTAACCACCACACACAGCAGAATGTGTATCTTCCATCGGTTGGCAAATTGCCTGGAGCTTCCAACTTCTCGTTCCTCTCCTTTGCCGGTGGCGTGTTGGGTTCGTTACACTCGTAGGTGCTCACGGCTGGGCGATTCAGTCACCATTAACAGAGGACAGTGTGTGTTAGCTGCATTTTCAGTCATAGACGATGAGTTACGGCGCGTATTTGTGAGTGTCAAGTGCATTGGAAGGACTATTCTGAATTTATGAATGAATTAAAGGAGTTTTCGGCTTAACGAAACACTCCCACAATCCCAGTTTAGTTGGATGTTCTTGCCTACTTTAGGGATTGTGGCCGACGTCTCGTATAATCTGGTTTCCTCTTCGGGCTTGGAGATTTTATTTTCGAAGGACATGCTTTTGGAATGAATAGTATCGAGAACTATGATCTGCCAAAAGAGAGGTGAGATGATCATACTTGAGGCGAGTTAGGGGAGTATTTCTTGGTGCTAATAAATCATGAATAAGTACAATTGGGCTAAAGAGAGATGGATTATCGCGGTGGAGCCAGAGTCCAAAAAAAAAGAGCTACAGTAAGAAAAACCCCAACCAATCACATGTAATGACCAGGCGAGAAAGTTCACAAAATCAATATTTGCTTAGGAGCCACACGAGAAGGCAGTTCGACTTGAAGCTGGTTGCATTCCACAGCACACACACATGCATTTTAATATTCTCACATCCTCCCTTATCCTGGTGCACACATTCCAGCTCACTTGAAGAGTCGCACCATTTCGATAGCAATAAAAGGTGAGGAGCAATATCAAATATGAAATTAATGACATCAATAATATTAACAACAACAAAAAAGGGCAATCTCACAATGTTTTATGAAGTTGAAAGAAATTGACTTCCCAGTGCACAGTGGAGCACGGATGAACGATCAGAGGGGATGGCGATATAAATATGAATGTGTTTGGAATTGGAATGCGGAGTGGGAGCCTCGAACTAAGTAAACTAATGGCGCGTAGAGAGAGAGGAAGAGGTAGAAGAAGACCGATTAGTATATGCACGTTTGTGTGTATTTCTAAGTTCCGCGCTGCTGTCGGAATTATGATTAGACCATTTCCGATGACGACGCGTCACGTATGCAACACAAACACCAACAGAGCCACAAGCAATAAGCGGAAAGAAATAGAAACAAACTAGAAAATAAATTTTAAGAAATTGAAGGTGGCTGAATGCAGCGCCTAACAATGACGAGACCTGAGCTGGTTCAGGTATTCAGTACATGTAGTCGGCGCTGACGAAGAAAAATAAATAAGCAAATGAAAAAACAACAAAATTAGTAAGTAAAACTTAAAATTAATTAAATCACGATAATGCAAGTTAAAAAGAACACACGAAAACTGTGTACTTAATTTTTAATAAGGCCTTTAAAGGTCTCGTGCATTCTGGGACCTCGAAAAATAATGCCGATTGTATAAAAACACGCGCATTTCTAACAAACGATATCAGTTCCCAGCTACAACACTTCGGTAAAGCAACAGAACACTTAAAACCTATAAACCATGTCTCGTTTTATCCAAGTCCTGCTCGTCGCTTGTTTGGCCGTCGCACTCTGTTCTGCGGAAGCGCCACGCTACCGCAACCGTAATGGACGTCTCCAACTCTCAAAACAACGTAGCCGTTTCTTGGCCCGCCAAGAAGCCGCTGAGGCTGAAGAGGCTGCAGTGACACCATACCCATCCAAAAATGAACTCATACCAGAAATACCATTCGATGAATCCGCCGCCGCTGCAACTCCGGAAGCACCTGTCGAACCAGAAGTTCCCGCTGCTGCATCCGAAGACGATATCAATGTTTCTCTGAGTGTCGACCTGCCCGCTGAACAGGCTCCAACTGAAGAAGAAGAGGCTACCGCTGATGATGCCGAGGGCGAACATGAACCCGATCTTATTTATGGCCCACCAGAGGCTGAGGATGTGCCAGAAGTGAATGAAATTACACCCGAGGAAGAGATCGAAGCCACCATTGCTGAGGAGGAGGAAGCACAGGCAGCCGCTGAAGAAGAAATCCAATCCGAACGTTTGATCTTCGGCCGTCGCATTAACGCACGCAAATCTGCACGTCCAGCCAAATTGCGTGCTCCAGCTCGCACTCGCACCAACGCCGTGAAATCTGCCAGAATTGTTAAAGCCAAGGTATTGACCAAAGGTCGTCCAGCTCGCCTTCAACAATTGCCGCAAGCACAACAATTCTTTGTACCCCAGCAATTTTCTGCCCAACAACAGCAACAGCCCGTCTTCTACTACTCCGCCGCACAACTTCAACAATGGTAAAATGTGATAAAAAGACGAAAAAGATTCCAAAGCCGATTCTCTTATGGGATCAGGTTGGGTCCATGTTGTATAGAAAATTGTTAACAATAAGATTAAGTTAGCGGATAAGATGAGATGTAAATATTGTTAAAGATTTTTCTAGACTGATAATGAATAAATAAAGAAAGTTATGTAAAAGAGAAATATGTCATTGCATTGGAGCTCAGATAGTAATGCCACCAGTAACGATCACCTTGCGGTCTTAATAGCTCGAGCAGTAGTTTTCCTGTTTCAGTCGGATACAGTAGGCAAAGCCTCTTCGCTATTTTTGCTCAACTAAATCAATAGCTTCCACCTGTTAGCTCTTTCTATGGAGTCTCTGTCTGCTGACCAAAAATGGATATCAAAAACGCAACGGCAAGCTAAGTCTGCTATTCGCTCTCATGAAAATATAAGTTGAGAGCATACAAACAAATGTTAATAAATAGACTCTGTCTTCCTATTCTCGCGGAGCTTTGAGTAATACTCATTTACTGGTCAAACTCAATAAGTAGTTCGGACATATACTAAACGAAAAGGAGAACTCAAGGGCGCATTTATCATCTAAAATATAATTTAAAACATAAATTTAGTACAGAAATGGTCTTGAATGCTTACGGTACGAAGGCATTTAGTTTTGAACGTCAAGGCGACAGGTATGTTATCCACTGATGGTGCCGTGGAAGCAGTTGGGGTTTATCTATGTTTATATCAATGATTGGCACTTTGCCAATTCAGTCTTAAAATTTTTCCAACAAATACAGTTTATACTAAGCCGTCTCCGAACGGCTGAGGAGTTTCTCTTTCATGACAGAAATACACCTGACGTTCTCTGCCATGGGGCGACCGCAATTAGACAAATTAATTTTTATTTGAAAAAATTTTCAACAAATTTTGGATGTTACTCCTACCATGATTCGAAGCCTCACTTTCCGAATGGCAGTTCGTAATGCTAACCACTCGAATACCCCGGTGTTTTGCAGACAAATCAGTAGTTCTGGACGGAACTTAGAGTGTTTAACTGAACTGGCTAATATACATATATTAAGAGAAGCCCTTCTATGCGAGTATAAAATATACACGGGTTTTCAAACATCGAGATGAATATCAGATTATGTTAAGCTAATAATTATTAAAGAAAGTTGGCAGAGAAGATAGAGGTCAGGTTAGTACATCATCTGAGGGAAATAGTAGTTGAAGCTAAAAATTATTATATCTTTACATATATAAATAAGCTGAAGTCATTATCGGCCGAGCTGCTCTTCTAATTTGCGGTATACATATTGATGTTTTTCCACCAAAATGGAGGGACCTACAGTTTATACAAAGCCGCCTCCGAACGACTGGCAGTTTTTTATGAGAAGTTTTTATTTCATGAAATACACTCGGAGAGGTTGGCATACCTTGCCGAGGTACGACCGCATATAGACAATTTATCTAAAGTTTTTATTTAAATTAATTTTCCATAACTTTCGGATGATGGGCGTACCAGAATTTAAGCCCTAGCCTTCGCAGTAGCAACTCTAACCACTCGGCCACCGCGGCCACTATTCTTACCAAACTTAATTAACATCAAATATAATTCCTTTTCGCAAAGACTTACCGAGGTTTTTAATCTGCTTCCTAAATCTAGTTACTTTCTTCATCTCTTCGTCTGGGCTTAGTGCGACGTCGCACAGCTCGCCACAAGCGAACCAAAACCATAACTTCTCCACATCCAAATCAGAAAAAGGGAAACTTTAATGTCTGACAGAGTTTTCTAAGTGATCTAAAGTGTACCAGGATTTCTGTCCGTTAATGCTCTCTTATTCTGTCCAGACACCCACAGTTGCGCTATTAGAACCACGAACCCCTGCTATCCTGAGAAGGTGCACTTCCAATCACCAAAAATAATTTAAACATGAAAACAAGTGCCTCTACGTTGAACAATTAAAATATCTATTACTAATTCAGTGCTGTTCGTACGCTTATGGCAAAAATAATTTGATTATAAAATCAAAAACTCAATGATAACCGACAAATCAAACGCGTTTGTGGAATATTAAAGCAAAGCGCAAAGAGAACTAAAACTACACTAAAGTTACCAACAAACTCCAGCTTGCACTTATGAGCTGACCCAGAATTGAGAGTAGCGCTTGTCTAACGGCATGTTAATGCAGCATTAAATATTAATAAGGCATTTTATGAACTCCTAAGGCCATGGCTGTTGGGCCATGCTCAAACGCTGCGGAGGAAAATTAAAACAATTAGTATAAAAGCTTCGAGTTGCTGGACAAGAGGTATCAGTACTCAGTTTCCCCAACTCAGTAAAGTACATACTACAACCAAAAATGGCTCGTTTCCTTCAAATCCTGCTCGTCGTTTGCCTATCCGGCGCACTTTGCGCTGCTGAAGCGCCACGCTACCGCAACCGTAATGGACGTCTCCAACTCTCAAAACAACGTAGCCGTTTCTTGGCCCGCCAGGAAGCCGCTGAGGCTGAAGAGGCTGCAGTGACACCATACCCATCCAAAAAGGAACTCATACCAGAAATACCATTCGATGAATCCGCCGCCGCTGCAACTCCGGAAGCACCTGTCGAACCAGAAGTTCCCGCTGCTGCATCCGAAGACGATATCAATGTTTCTCTGAGTGTCGACCTGCCCGCTGAACAGGCTCCAACTGAAGAAGAAGAGGCTACCGCTGATGATGCCGAGGGCGAACATGAACCCGATCTTATTTATGGCCCACCAGAGGCTGAGGATGTGCCAGAAGTGAATGAAATTACACCCGAGGAAGAGATCGAAGCCACCATTGCTGAGGAGGAGGAAGCACAGGCAGCCGCTGAAGAAGAAATCCAATCCGAACGTTTGATCTTCGGCCGTCGCATTAACGTACGCAAATCTGCACGCCCAGCCAAGTTGCGTGCTCCAGCTCGCGCTCGCACCAACGCCGTGAAATCTGCCAGAATTGTTAAAGCCAAGGTATTGACCAAAGCTCGTCCAGCTCGCCTCCTGCAACTACCCCAGAGACAACAGTTTGTCGCACCCCAACAATTTGCCGCTCAGCAACAACAACAGCCCATTTTCTACTACACCGCCGGACAATTGCAGCAATGGTGAAAGGTGTAAAGAGCTGGAGCAGATCGTGGCTAAGTTTTATTATTGTAGGATAGAAAATTGTTAGCAATTGGGTATCTGTGGTCGAACTGAAGAATTGTTAAAGATTTTTTTAGACTGATTAAATATAAACCGAAAATTAAAAAATGTGATATTTATTAGTCTTACAGGGTTTCTTTGCGTTCTTCGTCGTGGTATAAAGGCCCAAACTTTAATTTGCTTTGTGATATTTCCAATCTCCGCTGAAACACTTTGAACAACGAAAGTCGTGTTCTTCTAAATAAAATAAATATTTTCGTTTTGGGCAATCACCGTCTTCACAATCACATTCACATTTTGAGAAACCAAAAAAAACAGTTTGTTTTTGTTGTTCAACATCTCTTCACTAAATATATATATAAGAGCTCATATACTCTCGTACGGTCCAGTGCCGCGTAATAGCTCTAATGGTATTTCAAAGTTCTCTATTTTATCATACTTAGACCCTTGCGGCTGCTCTTCAACACCTTCTGCTCCAATATAAGAATCTGATTTTTGTATGGCCGCCTTTTTCTTCTGTGCCGCCGTCTCATGTGAGTCTCTTAAGTCCTCTTGCTCCGGATATTGCTCATATTCATAGTCTGCACGAAGACCATCATCACGTATGTCATCATCCGATACACTTGGAAACTCCGCTGGTGGTCCATAAATATCATGCGGATTCGGAATACGGGGTTTGTCCAATGGTGGCGGTCTGATAGGCCAATTCACTGGTGGCGCGCCATACATAGCGACGGGCCGACGATGGTGTGGTGGCACTTTGCCCTGCATAGGCGCATTACTCTGTGCATTCCATGACTGCTGGCGAACATCATCGGGCAGTTCAAAGTTTGGCGATGGTCGCCGACTGTTTGGACGGTAGATGCCCTTGCGACCCGCTGCATCAGCGCCAGGTCTGCGTCGAAACGTCTGCGGATAGCGGTGATGTAATATGCGATGGCGTTGCCGCGCCTGACGTGCGGCGTCCTCATCTTCGGCATGAAGAACTTGTACAAGTATAAAGATGAGTACGTAGAATGTGAGACGGGACATTTTCAAGCCGCGGGCATGCACAAATTTATGACTTTTCGATTTGTTGTATTGCTTTTATATTCAAAAACTCTGATCTGAAATCTTGGCAAATTTTCAATTATTTTACAAAAGAATATATGAATATTTTTTAATTTCTATTTTCAGTTTTTGATTTTTGCTTTTGTTGTTCTCTTCCCTTTTTGTAATTCGTTGTAAATATTACTTTTGTACAAAATGAATATGGATAAAATGCCAAGTTTTCAACTGCCAACTCGGCAGCCATTGTAACCTCAGATGTGAGCCATCGACGGGCAAGCACGTGAACCGATTACTCGTTTGACCTCGATTGGCACGTAATCGGATTTGAGTAAATTATTTTTGTTGCTTACAATTTTAAAAATAAATAAAAGCTTAAAGTGTCATCGCTCGTGAGCTTGAAATGTGCACAGTGTCTCAGTTTAAAAAGTTAAGAGTTGAAATAAAATAAAATTAAATTAATTACATTAAAATCAAATGAATTGAAGAATTGTAAAATATATTATTGTAAGAACTTGACTGTAGCGAACTCTTGCAGGACCCAGAGAGGGAATATTGTAGAGATTGCTGCCCAGAGTACATATAGCGAATGACAGTGAAAATGGAACAATAGGAGTTGGCGCACCCGATCAATGATGATGAAATGGATGATTGCCAATCAAACTATTCAAATACGGCAGGGAAGAACTGATAAGGTGCATGTATCAGAATCTTTGCGAAATATGGTCAGACGAAAGCATGCCCGACGGTTGGAAGATGAGTATGCTCTGTACCAATTACCGTCGATTTAGCTTGAGCCCCTTGATATTTAAGAAACTGAATATCTATTAGCGTAATCTTATAGGGGTTTCCATGCCGAAGTTACTTAAATTCCAATTAAAAAATTGAAATTATGTTTTTTATACGACTTGGAACACTGTATCTCCGGCCCATATGAGTTTGTGCCGCTCTAATCGCGTTCAACAAGTGTCAAAATTGAACTTCAAACAGCGAAAATCGCAACGTTTGAATACAAAATAGCAACAAGGGAGCCAAACAATGCAAAAACATAATAAAAATGAGTAAAGATTTCAGTTTACAAGGGTGTTAGTATCTTTCCTATGCGATATATCGAACAGAATATAAGGTAGAAGGAGTACAACAAATAGTACAACAAAGAGTACAAACGAAATAATGAAGAAAAGTCCATCACAAATAGCGAAGGCGGACTAACTTCATGGCGATGGAAAGGAGTTTTATATTAGAAAATCGTTTAAAATCCAACTCAGACAGATTTCAACATTCTTGCAATTCAATTTACAACATTTAAGGCGGTTCGTTAAACTTTTCGATTTTCACAGGGGACGTAAGGGAGGCAAAATCTAAAACAGCTACAGAACAGTTAGGAAAACTCGATACAGAGTTTACTTGTAGGAACATATATGTGGGTATGTGTGCATGTGAAACTTAAATTCGCTTTTCTTTTGATTTTACTTTTATTTTTGTTTTCATGTTTGTTACAGACGCTCAACTGCGGTCACCGGCCACACATCGTCTCACAGCTTACTGTCAATGGCTTTGGCAACTGTTGCAGTGTCTGCGGCCGGCCGAGCAACTAATAAAGCTTGCTCAGCACGTAGTGGTTGGCTAAAATGGCATCGCTGTAGATGTTGTTGTTATTGTTAGTGGTGGTGGTCATTTCAAATTGAGTTTGTTCGCTATATATTTACATAGATGTAAGTACGTGCGTGTTTGTACGTATACGAGTACTCGTATATGTGTTCGTTATTGTAATATAAATTTGGTATGCAAAGGTGCGCTTGTGTATGGGTTTGTGTTTGCAATAATTATTGAATTATTCTCATGTACAATCACCTTTATATTGTGTACACACATATATATATATAAATATATATATATGCATATACACTTGTTGTAAAGAGTGTACGTTGTGGATGCTCAGCTGTCTCTAATTCGGGTTGAGAGGCTCTAAAGCAAATTTAATTGCTTTATAAAATGTATGAAATGAATAAATAACGTATATTGTTTTAGCTCATTATATAATATCATATTATTATGAATTTTTTTATATTATTCTTTCTTTGTTATTATCGTAGCTTGCTCTTTTTGTTATAAAGCAATTTCAACTTTTGTTTTCATTGTTTATTGAAAACTAAATGGTTTTTGTTGCTATTGTAGTGCTATAAATATGCATGTGCCGCACCTGTGTGTGGCGTAAGTGTGTTTGTGCACCTATTGGCCAAAAATTCAATTTCCGGTTTCCCAATTTAGTTTTTGTTTTTGTTATTTAGGCTTCTTTGTTTACAATATTACTTCTTTTTTTTTTGTAATCTAATTTTAATATTACTTTTCTAATAATATTTGCTGCCTGAAAAGCATAAATTCGTTTAATCGCACTTAAATATTCTATTTGAGTTACGAAATAGAATAAAAATATCAATTTTACATATTCCCTTAGTCGATGACATCACTTCTGTTGAATCAGTATTTGAGAACATACACGTATTCCCATGATCAAGGACTCCCCGCTAAACACTTAAGTTAAGTATTACTGAAAAAAGCTTTTCTGGCATAACTTTGCATTCTATTCACATCAATTTATTTACATTTGTTGGAATTTTGGATCGCGCATAAATGATGCAGTTTCAAACAAACCGTTTTTAAGTATTTGTGCTCTAGAACTAAATCACTAGACTTTTCTCATTTAAAACTCTCTTTAAAAGCTCTCGAGGCTCCTTTTGCCTGCATCTTTACTCTATAAAGTCTAAATAAACGAAGATTCGAAGAAATACGTTAAAAAATATGCATAACTAATACTCAGATATCCCATGCGACAGCAAAAGTCTACTAAGGTTGGCACCTCATGGAAGCTATATCTCGAGATTTTTTTCAAAAGTGTCCATTAGTATTCAGCGAAACATGTGCGTAGGTCTGCGGTTCGGTTCAAATTCACCACATAATGCAATCTGATGCTAAAACTGATTGAAAACGATCCGAAATAGTAAAGAAAAATACAGAAGTTTGAGCTAAGGCATGAAGATAAAGGCATTGAGAATCATTAATAGTCAATAAAACGTTTCAAGAGTTGGATGTGAAATGGGTTTTGGATTAAGTTCCTAATCTGAATGCTTTTATGATCGCCAATTTTCCTCAAAGTTATATTAGCTTTAATTATAAGTTTTTTGGGAGCAATCTTTTTCTTTTGATGACGGTCTTAACATGGTTATCAACTCTTCTTGAAATTTTAAATTGCGATGGCTAAAAATTTGTATGAAAGATTGGAAGATAATTTTTTTAATTTCGGCCGCCCCTCGGAGGGGAATTTCAACCCCATGGAGGGTATTTGTGGCATGAAATGAAGATTCCTCATAAAAAATCAGCCGATCAGAGGAGGCTTACTATAAACTGTAGGGTCCTCCATTTGTTGGAAAAACATCAAACGCGAATTAAATTTATTATAAATATAATTTAATAAAAAAATAATAAAATATAATAAAATATTTAATAAAAAAATTTAAATGAATATCTTCCTATTTTCTTTATAGGCGAAATATTTGGGAATATTAAAGAAATTATTCTCAAAGCTTTTAAAACTTTCTAACTAACTTATTTTAAATACATGCTCCGTTTTGTGCTTTCTCAAGTCTGGATCTCTGGAAAATATTAAAAAATTCAATATCTGGAACTGAGTGTTTTTTCTTTTATTAAATTTAAATAAACTAAATTCTGTTGCTCAAAATTTAATGCTCAAACCAAAGCAATTGTGGATGGTGGATCCTGTGCTGGGTGTGATTAACGTAAACGATTTTAGTCAAAAAGAATGGAAAATATTACTCTGCGTATTGCTTTATATTTTACTTTTCTCGGAGGTTTCAATTCTCCTCACTTAATCACTTATTTTCGCAGCCGATCCGCCTCGTGGTAACGGCCTATGAATTCCTTATGTCTGTCCTTTGGGCGAAAGTTTCAAGGGTACACTAACAACTTGTTAACAAATTTCGGAAATCAAATATTTATAATGAAGCAACAACAACTTTTGGACAGAGAGACATTGTAATTTTTGCTGGAAAGTGCGAAATGAAAGTAATTAAAACTTCAACAACCGAGACAACGCTAACCAACACCAACCAACACCAAAAATTATTAAAAATCATTAAAAAGCAAAGCTGCACACTTACGTAATTTGTGTGTGTGTGTGTGTGTGTGTGTGTGTGTGTAAGCTGCAAATTAAAAGAGTTCCTCAAAGAAATTAATTAAAGTTACAGTTGTAATAACGGTTAATGTGCCACTAAGTTCTTTGAAGGGAATAACGAATGAAAGGGAAAAAAATTATTTCAATAACAAAAATTTATTATATTTTTTTTTTCCTTTTGCGTTTCTATAAAATTGGATAAAAACAATAAAATGATGAAATGTTCAGCCTTAAAGGTAAATATTTTGAAACTCTAAGCAAAAAGCTTATCCAAACAAAAAAAAAACAGCAATAACATTTAAAACGCCTTAGCGCCAGCTCTGCACACTGGCGGAGTAGGCGAAGGGACGACCCGCAGGCACATATATGGGTGGTGTGATCAACTTCTGAGAACGCAACAGAACTGGCACTGAGAGCGGCGAGTTCAAAACAGCGGGACCCAAATTCGCTGTTACATACACACGCTCAGCATCGGGATTCTCTTTGGCGCCCTCCTCCGGCTTCGGCGCAACTGGATTATCACTCACACCACATGCCGGATGACCCGCCTTATCTGCAGGCGACACAGGTGGCTCTGGCTCGTTGACTGCTAGGCCCGACTCCTGATTGGCCGATTCGATTTCAGTGGGCAGTAGGAAGGCGCGACTTGGACGCCAACCAGCTGGTGGATAAGGTGCTTTGGGCGCTTTAGTTGCTGCTGGCTGTGCAAGTGTTGGTTGCTGCGCCGCATCAATGGCATCCTCAATCACATCCGTTGCACTCTCAGCCTCTGGCAGCTGTGTTGTGAAGGGCGCAAGCGGTGTTGTGGTGGTACTTTCAAAGGCGTCCACTATATCGCGGTCGTTTGGCGATACACCTGCTGCGGCAACCGCAGCTGCAGCTTCAGCTTCTTGTGCCGCTTTTACTTCGGTGGGCAGCAGAAAAGCACGACTGGGTCGCCAACCGGCAGCTGGGTAAGGTGCTTTAGCAGAGCGTCCCTGTTTGGCAGCATCGTCACTGCCGTGCAGCTCAGCTGGCACCCAGTTATACGGTGTGGTGGTTTCCGCATCAATAGCCTCGGTTGTACTGGTGTACACATCAGTGTCGGTTTCCGTTGTGGTAGTAGCTAGGCCAGAGCCTTCTTCCTGCACATCATCTGCGACCGCTTTATCACCTTCACCTGGTAAATTGAATGCACGCCCTGGTCTATAGCCAGCAGCTGGGTATGGCGTGGGATACACTTCCTCTACCACAGCCACCTCCCCATCGGTACTGTCGGCGTCCTCAAGGCGTGCGGTGCGGCGGTTGTTGCGTAGTTGACGCACCTGTGCAGCACTGCTGAGTAGTGCAATGGCAAGGAGCAGGAGCAGCGTAAATGGGAGCCGCAACATTTTATGTTTTTATTTTATTTTTTTTCTTCCTTTAATAAACTTCTTAAAGGTGTGCTTCTGTCTTCTAATCAGTTTCTTTTTCGTTTTGGACTTATTTTCGTTTCACACTAATTGTATTCAAATACTGAATCCCGACTGTTTTTCATTTCGATGCCAACAATCATTTTTATATCAGCTGCCAAACGAAATTCGCGTTCGCCCACAAATCGAAGCTGAGTCCTCTCCCGTACAGTTGCTCTCCGCTACTGTGGTTTGCTGTCGCAATTAAATGCCCAAGCAGCGCATTCACCTCAACCTTCTCCGGAGCCGTCCAGAACCGTTTTCGAATTCATTTAATGAGCTCACGTACACACACACACACACTGGCTGAGGTTAATCAATATGAGCAGCTAAAGCCACACACACATGCAAATGTGAATACACAAATATTTATTACTTCATAATTCTCATTCTATGCATTCTTGGTGCTCGTAGTTCGCTTTAAATATGGTCCGAACACAAACAAATCAAATTGAACATAAAAAATTTAAGAAATTAAGTAAAATTAAAAATACATAATCACCCAACAATGTCAGCGAAATTAAAATATTTTACGTGTTTGGCATCACAAAATTCATTTCGGGCTTCACTCGCTCGGCCGTTCTTTAGAAAACTCTGCTCCTCTCTTTTACTACATACATATGTATATATATGTATATTTTATAAACGAAAATGAAAAATTTTTGTAATTTTGTATATGCCGTTTTCTGCTTCTCCTTTGAACTTCCATTCATGAAGCTGCCGCACACACATAGAGAACAGTGATGTCCTGCAGGGAAAGTTGTTGCTCTGCAGCTCGGTGTTAAGCAAGAGGGCCACGGCAAATATTAATGAAAAATATGTATAAATTCTTGTTTGGAATCTTTCCTGCATTGGAATGCCTCAATATTCTGGTTTATGAAGGGAAACTACCTGAATGTGATCCTCTATGCCGTGACGTCGTTTTTTGTAATCATACATACATACAACATAGCACCGTAACTCGTTCTTCAAGAGCCAGAATAAAACTAACCGTTTTTTCAACTCTTTCCTGCAGGGTCTATGACGCGGTTTCCTATCAATGGGCAACGAGAGGCATTCATGCGCGGCATCTTAGGTTTATATTTTATTTTTATTGTACATATTATGACACTCATTTTTGAAATATCCTGGAATTCCTTTCTAAGTTTCCTCAATGATTTTTACTCCAAAATATCATATAAATGTCAATGGTCCTCATTATAGGTGAATTTTAAAGATGTATGCAGCAACACCAAAAAAATTTAGCAGGGGAGGGCCAAATGCAAATGTGAGCGGATTTGGCGTTAAGGACCCTTACAAAGAGGGAGAAGATGGAATGTAAACTCGTACAATATGCTACTGAACCACTCTTGGATATTAAGACCCCCAGTTCGCCCACACTACTATGGCATACCCTCAGTTTCAACGCATTTGGGAAGGTTTCATTGAAAATTCTTACTAACTTTTTGCTTCGCCAAAACATTGAAGCCACCAAGTACGAACGAATAAACGAATTTTGGCGCTCTGGCTCCGAGTCAAACACTCAAACGCTGTAACGAGGTGCGGTGTTCAAACCACCGTCATTGCTCTTGGATATGGTCGCTTTTCTTTCTTGTGCCGAGCATAGATACTCTTAGCTGGTGTACATTTGTAAGATCATCAACCATCTGGTGAAACAGAGAGACTTTAGAGGGATCTTAGAGGGAGCACAGCCCTTTGTTTTGCATTGAGAAACCCTTTGTGTGGTCTCATTCGCCTTCTCACTCTAGTCAGCCTCCAAGTGACTGCATGCTGGCAACGTAAATAGAAGACAATAGAACTAAACTGGTAAAGAATAACACCACCGAAGACTGCGGTTGGCTTTAGACTGTCGCCAGTGGACGCGAAATGCTCGTGGAATTACAGAATTTTAGCTTTTTCAGCATAATTAACTGCTAACGCATATTCAAATAAAAAAATTATGTAATGGCCATTGTTGTTGCTGTAAATGTCAAAAGCATAAATTTACTGCATCGCCGGGGGGAGGGAGAAAGGGTGGAAGAGAGGACGTTGACTGTTGTCCTGTCAACGAGAATGTCAAACAATTGTTGCACAAACTAATAACGGCACAATGGCGGTGACGGCGGCGGCGGTGGCGCATAACGAGCAGATATATGGCATACAGACAGATAACAACAACAATCGTGTCCGACACTGAGCTGAACGCATTGAAAATCGCACGGCACTTGTTGTTGGTGCCAACACAACAATGCTGAGGACAACACTTGATTGCATTAATTAAGTCACACTTATTTGTCTTCAATAAACAACAACAGCAACAACATCAGCAAGCACCACGACGAGTACAACAATAGTACCAGCAAACAGTAGTCAGCAACGTCAATGCGGCAAAAACAATTGTTAGTGAGGGCAATTATGGCCGAAAACAACAACAACATGAACAGCATGACCAACAACAACAAGAATAACACTAATAATAAGAACAACACCAATAATAAGAGCAACAACAAGAACAAAATAACAAATTGTACTAGTGTGTGAATGTTCATTCAACAAACAATAACGAGACAACATTGCGAACAAGCCAAACTACAACAACAACAACAACAACAACAACAAAAATAAATGACATTGCTCGCTTGCACTCACTGTTGTTGACATAAAATTTGCGCGATTTTATTGTCGCTCTCGGCTGGGCTATTTGCTTGATGTTGTTGTTGTTGATGCTGTTTCTGAAAGTGTGCTGAGCATGGCCGCGCGTATAGACACACACATGTACTCGTATGTAAGTATGTGTGAATAATTATATGAACCAACACTTCCAACGACAAAAGCCAAAATGAACAAAAGTTTGCCGTCAAGTGCGTCAAGTGCAGAGGCTAATTGTTTATGAAATTTCAGGAGGGCAAGGACGACGGTGAATATCAGTGGGACGAGGGCGAGGCGGACAACCAGCACTAGAAAGGGGTGGACTGCTCCCCACACTAACGATTAGTGTATAAAGCATGTTAAGGGGCACACCTAGTGTTTTTTAGATTTCATCCACGGATAAGGTCGGAATCACTGCAGCAGTGAAGGACCTTTTTTCGCGCCGTTGGAGATCGGTTATAACTTAAAAAATGGTTAATTTTTTTCTTCAAAAATTTCACTGTATATTCTTGAAACATGAATAAATATATTCCTAAAATTTTGAAATAATTGATAAAGTATTTTTTTTAATAAAAATTCCCAAAAATCACCTTTTTAGGCCATAACACTAGGTGAGTCCCTTAAAAGCTTGGGAGTCCGTAGCCCAGGTGAGGAAAGAATATTTTGTGGGATTATCAGTTTTAGTTGTGGAACATCGTTAAAATAATGTTGTGCAGGAGAGCAACAGGAGATGCCGAAAAAGAAATTTACATTGTCTTCTGCTGTATCGCAAGTCGGTAATCTAGGAAGCAGTACTTAGTCTAGATATTCTGTAGACAGTCCTGATGCCTTTGTTGGGCGCTATGAGATTACACCCGACACCGACGATGTGATAATGCAGAAGGAGCTCTAGACAAGTTTTGACATTTTTATTTTAGAAGTGGCAGAAGACCCAGCAAAGATCTGAAAAAGAAAGAAAAAGATAAAATATTAAAATTAGTCAATCCAGTTTGTAAGTTCATAACAACATTTATTTACACTCCTTTAAAATATCCTGCACTGAACGATCTGGTCGTAAAAATAAGAGATATTTTCAAACTTTGTGTTCTTCTTCCCATCTCCTACTGGCGGAATATTAAAAGTGATAAAAATGCATTTAATTGCATTGCGCGCTTCCGAGGCAGCCGTAAAAGTTATCAATAATGGAACAAAAACAAAAATATTGGATAAAAATAAGTTACACATCAGTGCACCTCGTGCGTCTCTTCCGCTGCCTCACTCTGCCAAAGGCCTAACGGCCCCATTGCATGCCCAATTCACAATAAACCTTGGTTGATGCGGCCGGCGACTGGCGGATGCCTGAATTTGAGCAGCTCGTTTGTGTATGCGACTAACAAACATACATATTTACTTTTAGGTTATGGTATGCCAGGAAGTATTGTCAAATACACTCAATGCACGCGGAGTGAACAAATGGTTTTACGGCAAATTTACGCAGCTAAAGTTAATGCTGCTGCAGCAGCAGCGAAAGTTACGGAGTTGAGTGCATCGAAAGTAGAGTCGGAACTGAAGCTTCAATGAACTTTTACTTAGAACCGTTGTACGAATCACTTCTGGAGGTGCGAATAAAATGAGTCCTAGGAACAGAGTTCAAATTCATCGGTGTGTTCGACAGATATTTATTTAGCAATGAGTAAAGGAGGCATTCGATGGAAATCAAGCAATGAATGGGTTGGATTAATTCAACTTATAAGCATTCGAAATATGCTCAAACTGCAACAACAAAAATAATTCCCACATAGTTTCTATTTACTTTCGATCTGGTCAGAGATGATTTAAAATCAGCGTTCTGCCACATTCGTGATGTAAGACGAATCGAAGCCGAAATCGGAGATTGGTTGCATCCCTAGGTGTATATCTTTGCTATGTATGTAGGCAGGGTCCGATATGTTGTGCTGTGTGGGCATAAGTAAGTACTCGTAAATAACTGTATAAACAAGGCTTCGTAAGTTTTTTTTTTACATCCAGTCAAACTTGGGTTGCAATGCAACGAAACCGTATGCACATGCCTATAGTTGTTGTTGGAATCTGGGTATATTTGCGAATGCGTTTTCATATCCCAGTCGTCCGGCAGTCAACAGCTCAGCTCGGTTAGGCCAATAATATTTGTACTTAATTAACAACTGGAGCAACACTTCATTGAAAATTCTAGCAAAGAGTACAAAAGTAGGCTAGGAATATATTTACATTGAGAGAAGCGTTTGCAAATCTTGATTGGTTAAGCTTAAAGGACATAAGAGAGTACCAAAGGCCAGCAGGGAGCCGTATGACTTCATACCTTTGCCGCGCTAAGCTTCAAATTCTATGTGTGGCCATCAATGGCTGCCCGATCAGCTTAATCTCCCTCCTCCCACTGCGGAATTCAAAGACTCCTGTTGTCACTCTAACGCCGCACAAACTCTCCAAGTTGCAATGACAGAGGGACGGTTGGTTTATCTGTGCCGAAGCTCTGCAACAAATTGTTTGTTTCATTTACTCACTTCGCTCAGATATCCACTGATTTTGTTCCAACCTCCTTGCGCACATGCCACTGAGGCTCTCCAACCCAATCACCAACCCACGACCAACGCGGCATTCAAAGCGTTCAATGCGCTCCTCATGGAGTTGCATTGCACTCGACACACAAACTGCTGCATACTTTTGGGCTCTTGTGAATCTCAATCTATATATGCGGAGGTCGCACACTGCCGATCCAATGAAAGGCATTCATCAATTTGGATGTGGAGTTCATGGGTGTGGGTGGAGTGTGAGTGCGCGTGTGTGTGTTTCACATTCTTTTGACATTCACAAATAAACCGCGAACGCTTGAGCTCTCTTCAGCGGGCCCTTTGTTGTAGTTGTTTGTGTTTGCACAATGGCAAAATTTCATCTGTGTAGGTCGATTAGCTACCTGCGGCAGTTAAGTTGCCAAAACCACGCTTAGAATTTTCCATTTTGCAACGTGTGAAGCGAGAGAATCGCGAGTGGGAGATGTCAAATTCAAGTGAAGACTTGTGAGACCTCTATGTACGAGGGGATCCTGGCTTATGTGCGTTGGGATGTGTTTGTTGGTGGAGGATCTACGTGGATTATTGGTTAACGGTCAAAGGGCTACAAATGCTAATAGAAATGAATGGAGGAAATCTACGAGATCTCTAACCAGTTCTATGAATCCCAAGACTTGTGCCATGGGAAAGTAAGAAGCAAATAAAGAGGACAACTGGTAATTGGATCCTCTATCTATCTAAGATCCCACTATTCTTTTTATATTGATCTGAAGAATTAATATGTTTTAGAAATTTTTATTTACATTCGGCAATTAACATAATTAAAAATAAAAATAAAATTTAAAATTTTTTATAATCGTTTTAGTTGGGCTAGCCGGGTGGTCTTCTCGGGTTTGGTTTCCTCTCTTCTCGATTTTGGATTTTCTTCTCTTATTTCCACGCTTCTGAAGCAAGATTCAACTTAATTTCACACATACATACATACATACTTATTTTATTAGAGCGGGAGCACGCTTTTTTGTTTTTGTTTTTTTTTTTCATTTTTCCAATTAAGCTTAAAAAGTTTTGTCAAATTTTCTTACTTTTACAAAAATTTACAACTTTTTTGCAGAGCTTCTGCAGCACACTCACAGGAGCATCTCGGTTCACAACTTAGTGGCGACGCTGAGGTACCACCTTGTATTTGAGGGGACGGGCAGCAGCGCGGGCAGCCAAGGCTTGACGATAAGCAGCCGCCTTGCGTTGACGTTGACGATATGCAGCAGCGCGACGAGCAGCCACCAGACGAGCTTGCTGTTCATCCAAAGGCGCCGGGAAGTCCTCGGCAGCTGGGTCAGCAGCGGGCACATCCTCAGCGGGTGCAGCATCAGCAGCCGAACCAGCGGGCAGCTCATTACCGAAAACCTCTGGTGGGCCATACACTTCATCGGGCTGGTTGGTCTCTGGTGGGCCGTACACTTCATCGGGAATGTTGGTGGCGGGTGCGCCTTCATCAAAAGGCACTGCGGGCTTCAACTCATCAGCTGAGGGGTAGGGCGTGACTGCTGGTGCTTCGGGCACAACGTCGGCAGCACTTTCCTCCTGGCGCGCCAGATAGCGTGTGCGTGGACGCTGGTAGCGAGCAGCGGCCGGGCGGTAGTAGACACGTTGACCGCGTTGTTGAGGCTCAGCGTCGCTGGTGGCGATGCAGGCGACGAAGGCGAGCAGGGCGCACACGATGACAATTTGTAATTTAGTCATTTTCTTTATCTTTGTTATTGTAGTTTTACTAGAAATTCAAGTGTGGTGTGTTGAAGCAGGTTCTTAAGTTCGCTAAGATTTTTCGAAGGTTTTATTTTTCAATTAATTGAAAGTTTCGCGTGGATTTCTTTTGATTCGAATTGAAGAAAGGAAAGAATTCTATGTGGCTGAGTGTGCGAACACTGGGAACTGATATCGAATGACCGTGAACACTTTGCTTTTATACGCTGCGCATCCAACGAGTAACTCCAGCCGGCACCACTGGCTTTTTTGGCACGCAGGAACTATACGCCGGCTCCGCTGATGTTTTTTGTGGTGCCGGCATCCTTATTTGGCTGGGGGCGCCGTATATGGTCAAGTCGCAATAGTGCCTGCCTGTCAGCGTTTGGGAATTATGCTGATTTTATGGAAGACGTGACGAACATTTTATCTACCGCCAACCAAACTATAATTTTGTAGTGCACGCTTGAGCAACGCGGGTTGGTGCTGACGCGGACGGCACTTAGCAGATAAATTCGTGTTAATTGACAGAATGAAAGCGAGAACGATTGCTTTGTGTGGTTGAGTTTCTTTTATTTTTGGCGAATGAAACGATTGATTAGCGTTTTGCCGTTCGAATTTTCAAATCTCTGGCTTAGCTCATACCGGGTAGCCAAGTATCGCTTGCTTTTCGGTCGCTGCTTGCTGCCATCTGTGCTCAATGCTAATTTTCTACTTCCGCAGCTTAGTTTAGGTGGGTGCGTGCGTGCGAGTTCTCAGTATGGCCAGCGTCGTTGGTGGACGTGTATGGCAAGCAGTAGCAAGGCGAATCGGGCAAAAAGTAATTAATAAAATGGAGCTGTTTGTAGCTGTGTTTGAAGCGGAGCATGTGAAAGAGTTTGCCATTTTTGTTTGGGAATGTGTGTTTATAGACTCATTATAGGCTATGAATGAGATTATATCTGAACGAATCTTGATCTATAAATAATTTGGCGACGAAATGTAAGTAATCCTTCTGTCGGCACAATAGCTTCCGCATAACTGTGACTTGTGCAAGAATATGATTTTTGAAAGTCGGCGAGCTTCCGAACTCTAGAATCTAGGGGGGATTTCTGCAGAGAACTTAACGTCTAACGCCAACCGCTGACGTCTCGCACACATTTTCAGCGAAATAAAATGCGGAGCGATACATATATTCATATTCCATTGAGAATCTTGAGTGTAAATGAGGAATCAACAACAAAGCTCAACCAAACCTAGATCAGATCTTCAAACTACGAAAGAGCAAATGATTTAAGAATAGAGAAGAAACAACGGCGTGAGCTAAGAGGGAGAATGATTTCTGAATTTCTATGGTTCTCGGTGCCGATAGTGCCAACCAACCAGGTTTTTTCACTAAACGTAAACTTCCCACATTTACTTAGAATACAACCTGTGTGTGCAGTAATTGGTACAAATGTAATCCCCTATTATTATTATTATTATTGAGCAGCGAGTAGGAGCTTACCTTCCTCTGCGCACTTGAAGCACTTGATGCTCGAATCGGCTCAGTGACGCTTGCTTATCGTTCGTTTGCCGGTTCACTGAACTCACTAAAGCTTTTAGAGACCATTGGCAGCTTGGTGAAAAGGGGAAAGGGAAGACACAAAAGGATTCAAAAGCCCATGAGCACATGCAGACCCGCACCAAATACGAGTACATCAAATGTCGCTATTATTGTCCAAATGCTCCACACACACATATACAACTTATTGTTCTTAGTGTTGTTGTATAGTATAAATGCAGACATTGCACAAACGCACACACACTCTCACACATACGTGTATGCATCTAATAATACAAGTATATTGCAGATTTCAACAACTCCATTGAATTGCGTAAATACAAAATACGAACAGCAATAAAGCGCCCAGCTTCAGTCAGAGCTCAAGCCAAAGCAACTTTCCGCATATACGTTATGCGCATACATACATATGTGTTTAAGAGGACGCATTTTCATTGAAATGCACTCTCCCAACTCGCTGGTTCGCATTGTGTTGCCGAGTTTCATCAAAGATTTTCAACATTTATCATGGGGAACCCAGCCAAGAGCACTGCGCTTCTTACAAATGGCTACGTCTTCGTCGCGCTTCCGTTGCTGATCTCACCCCTGCGGCCTTCACGACTCTCTCTTCCGCTTCCGACATTCCTTCCGCTCCTCCATGCGTCTTCCGTTTTGCATTTTATCGTATGAATATGTGATTGCATTTTTATTTCGTTTCAATTGTGTGCAATTTTTGAGATTGCTTGCCCAGCAGGAGCATGATACTGGCGCGAGAGGTTCGACGTATTGACTGGGGACCGCCGACATTCGTGCGCCATCCACTGACGTCTCACACACCAAGTCGTACTTGTCGTCGCGCTCTTTTTGCCCACACGCCCTGCTACTCACGGTGGAAGTGCTTATGTGTGTGTGTATGTTTGAGCTTGCTTCTGTTGAGCAAGAAAGTGACTGAATATCTTTGCTTACTCTTCCAAGTGGATGCAAATACGCAGGAGTGGGAAAGTTATTGCTGTTTGTATTTGCATTCTTTTTAAGTTAAATTATAAATACTTTTCTATGAGGAGCTCATGTGCAACTTGAGGTGCATTCTTGAAAAATATTGTGATTGTGGAAGAAATGCGATAAAGTAGAGGAACTCCGGTCAGAATTTTCAACAGAGTTTGTAAAGCGCCATCCATTAGTCCGACCGCAGGTCCTCGGGTCAATGCAATGGGTCAAGGGTTCGGAAAGTGTCCGGGCCAAGACTTTTTAATTTAGACAGAGCATGTCGAGCTTTGACTCTACGAAAGCCACAGAGGAGTATAGAATCAAGAGTTCAAGAAGAGAAATCAGTATTACTTTAAACCCTTTTTCTATTTGAATGCAGGCTTCAAATGGGCTATCACACTATCCGTCTTAAAACAGCTTAACAGTAGGACCATCAACGTGATAACAACTAAATAGCGGCTAAATTAGCGCACTTAATAGTTGTTGGTTAATACTGAATTGAATAATACAACAGCAGATTACATGGCTGATGTTGGCGCAGAGGCAGAGCACTCGCCTGCTAAGTCAGGATCTGTTAGATCGATCCCTGCCATAAAAAGTCTGATGAGGCGATGTTGCATAACAAAAATATTAAATTCATACCAACGAACCAGGGCCTTAGCTCGTTAAAACTTATAACAAAATATTGATAGTATGGCCTCAAAAACAGTTATGAACAAAACATGTCTGCGATAAAGGCTTGCTTGATTCAACGTATCAGATCCATTTCGCGTCTCTGTTTCAAAATCTAGAACACAAACACGTTTCGGAAATTGGCTTAGTTGGATACAGAAATCCATGTTAGAGCTATGAAATTAATTTTTTCCAATGTCTCAGCACAGTTTGAAATAATATGAAAGTCAATGAAGTGTTCTTGATCACTTGAAACTGTCAAAAGGTACAATAAATGCATCCGCACACACTCCATTCTGCTGCAGACTCCACATGCATGCCAACTCTTGACAATAAATGTACGCAGTACAGTCAGGGTGGTATCTGGGAGGTAGGGGAGAGGTGAACCTCAGTGAAATCTTTCTCGGGTATCTACTACAGAACGCCCACACGTCCAGACGCCCACTTATGTCACTATACCTGGCTGTTGGAAAGTTCTACTTCTACTTCTGCTACGAGACGACAGACACTTCAACACCTTGGCAAATACGAAGTAATGCCCGAATTCACACACATACACACGCACACACACAAGCGTAAATGACTTTTGCTCATTTGGTTTTTGTGCATTTTAAATACCCAAGAACTTTTTGTTATTTTTGTACTTGCTCCCCGTACTGATTTTCGATTGCTTTTCCTCTTTTCGTTATATCTCCCTCTCTCTCTCTCACTCTCTCTCGGAAGTTGGCAAGTTGCACTTTGGCCTTGGTTTTGGCAAAGCCAAACTAAATAAATAAAAATGAAAAAAAAAATACAAAATATGACATTTGCACAAGTAGAGATAGAGACAAAAACAACAAAAATAGCAGCAGCAGCAGCAACAACAATAACAACGAGAGTGTTACAAGAAAAGTACAAAGTTTTTGGTGGAATATTTAACTGCCAAACTTTTAGCTTTTCACCTGCAAAACGAGCAGTCACCTTGCGTGTGTGTATGTGCATTCCTATGCATTTGTGTTAGATAAAAGTGGGCACCTTTTTGAACTCCTCTACACCAGTTAAAGTTCTTTTTTTTTAGTTTATGAGGCATTTATGCAGATAATTTAATTTTGTTCCTGTTTTTATTGACAAATTTATAGTGGAGCACAAGCTTCCAATTCACTGGAGGAGCTGAGCAAGCTCTTACGACGCAAATACTATACAAATGACTCCTTAGAACGATTTGGTGTTCCGAATTTATGAATTTATTGTCGATGACGGCAGACCGACGACCACTACATCTTGATCTTTATTTTTATTATTATTAAGGGCTTGACATTCCCAGCCAAGGGCAGGCCGAAAATAGACAAATTAATATTCTATAATTTTAGATCTTTTTCGAATCAAGACTCGAACTCTGACCTTCCGAATGGCAGTACGCAATGCTAACCACTCTGGTATTGCGACCGGCAAAACTTTTACTGCAAGTGAGTTCGGGATTCCTGGGGCGCAAAAAAACTTGATCAGCGAGTTAATATTCACTATGGGAGATGAAATTCTTGCAGAATTTTTAAGTGCAGCAAACTTTTCTAGTACCCTCAAGGGCACTTAAAAAGCTACATCCTCACGAAATCATTCTTGGTTGAGATCTCGGCTCTACCGCGGACTCCAATTATTCATGCCCCGTAATAATTTCAAGTTTTAGTACCATCGATTTGATCTTTCCCTATTTATTACACAAATAAGAGTTTATTCTTATTCACGATGGAGTAAAGCTTTTTCATCGTCTCTTCGATTGTCTTTCAATGTGATTAAGTCACATATTATTTATTTATTTTTACGAGTTTACACCCTTTAAGCAAAAAAATTGTATTTCATAGCTTTCAATTGTTTAAAATTTAATTTAAAAAGTTTACGGCGTAAATGAGCGAAGAATAAAGAACATAGAGAAAGAGAGAAAGGGAGAGAGAGGAAGAGAGGGATTAATACCGGAAAAATGCTTCAAAAATATCCATTTTAATGTCAATATATTTATATAATCACTGCAAACACTGTGTGGGTAGGTGCAATGACATACTCAATGATATACTCAGGCTCTCAGGAGGTTATGTCGCCATGTATTGTGCGACCACCTATACAGAAGTTTCTCTCACATTCCAAGCTCTCCGTGAATTACACAGAGCACTTCGTAACGTGTAAGGTAGAAACAAAACCTTTTCCAACAAATTTTTTTTAGTTTAAACTTAAAATTGAGAAAAGAAAAACAAAGAAGTGCTGTACCAGAGTCTTTAAACTTTTCACAAATATTTCTTTTTTGATGTGTAAAGATTAATACACTTAAGCCAATATAGGCTGGGAGACACACAGAAGATGAGAACCCATTTTTTTATTCTTTGTCGTTCTTACAACTTTTGCAGCATCTCCTGAAGAAAACTCCTATCAGGCAGTGATCTTTTAGGACTCCTACAACCTTAGAGATGTGATCTCTTTTGAGAGAGTCCAATTCCTGTGATCTTTTTCAATCCCATTTCGGCCAAGTTTACCAATAAATTCTGTAAATAGCAGTAAGGTCCTTGAGTAGCTGTCAGCATATAGCATAAGGCAAAGCAATACGATTTGTGGCGGCTAAAATCTGCTAGACGGATAGACAGATATCATAGACAGACCTGGAGAGATAAATTTAGTACGTCATTTTGCTTTGGTTGGTAAACATTTTGATGGATTATCCACAAAATAAGTGTTGTGGAAAAGAACTTCACCTGCACTGCACTTCATGAGATTCGAACCTTATAGCCTGGTTTTTGGGAAGCAAGTCTCATGAACTCTCTTTCAAACACTTAATAATTTTTTTTTTAATCGACATCATATTCACTTTAAGTTTTTACAATGATTGGCCATGGCCTGAAGTAAGCAAAAAAATTGCATTGGAAGTGTGAAAATTGAATTTGAATACGAATTATCTACGAATTTACTAACCGCAAATGATTTCGGCCTCAACTTGAATAGCTCAAGGTCTTCATGTACAAATATACATATATATATATATATATATATATATATATATGAAGTATAATTTGAATACAAAACTAGAGTTATTTCGCTAATACTCATTGGATTTTAAACATGGGGGCGACACTTTTTCGCCCTGACCGAATTTAAATAGTTTTTCGCGCTAAAAAAATATTTCATAGAAAAAGTAATAAGTTTTATGTTTTATCTGACTTTTTAACGAATTACCATGGCGTACTAAATGCATAGAAAACTAAAACGAAAAAGGAAAAAAAGGCCTCGGCAAATAAATTTGCTGTTGTTTTTGCATAAAAGGGTGCCGCCTTTGGAAAAATTAAGAGATATTCTAAATTCATTAACAGTAACCAGGCACTTTATGGACTCTGAAATCTTGCGATACCAAAATTGGCTATTATACTTTTTGGATTATTTTACACGCTGTTATCAACTGTTCTACAGCCAATGGAGGGATAATTACTTTTTGAATGTCACCTGAGAAAAGAAAACTGTCACATCCAAAACGAAGTTACAGAACAAAGGGCAACCCCATCGGAATCTATAAATTTTGCAGTAAATTTAAACCTTATGCACATGACGCAGCACCTACTACATTTCCTCACTGAGTATTCGCTGTTTGTTGTTGGTTGTTTTTGATATTACAACAACAATTTTTTTTTATATATGTACGAAGATATTTATTGGTAAGTACGGTATCATTGTCTGTGCTGTATTTTGTTGTTGTTTGGGTTTTTACGCTGTGGTGTTGGGTATTACCCAAAAACTTGCTTATTTGCGTTCCTTTGTTGTTGTTTCTTTCGCTTTACCACTGTAGTAGTGAGCGAGGAGCTTCTTAACGCTTATCTGACTGCGGTTTCTGTTTATGTTTTATTATTGCCGGCAAACGGCGCTCATCGCGCGTACTGAACTCACTGTGTCATCTCTGCGAGTAGCACGTATTCTTGATGTCGGTGTTTGTTGTTGTATTCTAATTGAGCCTATGGTGAATAGAATTTCTCTATCTTTATTCAAACAAAGTCGTGCCTACACACCCACTTTATGAGCTCACTGTCGTGCTGCTGAAGTAATTACCAGAGCCGCAAGTCGACTTGTACTTTTCCTTTCCGCCTTTGCTGCTCGCCAGTCTGTCTATTTGTCACAGGTGTGACGTCGGCCACAGCATGAACTTTGTAATTTCGTCTTTGTTTTGTTCACGAAGAGATGAGCTGACTCAATGGATATATATACACACATACACAGATAGCGCGGTTTCTGTTCAGCTGACACCGGGAATTCCAATACGTGAGCATTCATAGTACAGCTAATTCATAAACCTTTCGAAATTCCCAAAAAAAAAACATAAAAAAGCTTTCCATTTGAAAATAGCAATCAGCCGATGACAACCTTAAGGCAATGGAATATGCGCCAAATTTCCATCATTATTACATCAGCGTGTTTGGCTGTGGAATACTGGCTTTCCGCCTCTCCCCTTATCAACGGCCGAATATTCATAAACGAATTTCAGTAAAAATATTTCCAATGCCGGCAGGGGAATTCCATAAAAAAAATCATTGACGACTAGTCCAAATGAGATACAAAACTAACTACTAGTCTCTTAAGCTCATCTATCAAACGTCTAACCTATAAATGACACAAAATTGATTTTTGAAGGGTTTTCAAGCATTTTCTAATATTTTTCATGATACTCTCGTCTTTCTCATTTCATCTCAAAATATTTAGTTTGTTTACATTCAGTTCAATCACTTCTATCAGCTGGGCATTGTATGTACATATATATTATATATACTAAAATACATAGTACGTACGTATATCAGCAAGAAATGTATGTCATAAAGAACACTTGAAAACAAAACATTTGCTCATATATTCAATGAGCTCACTAACATGCATACATATCTACATACATATCTATCCACAAGACTGGTCCAAAGTCAATGTCAAAAGCAGTGAAGCCACAATTATTACGATCGTCAAACACGTTTAACCCGCAGAACGGGTAATTGAAGAGAGATATGCGCAAACAGTATCTGCAGTGAGTAATTATACACACTACCAGCGTCTGCCAGTCGTCAAAGCCAAGCTGCATGACTAGTAGGCGAAAAAAGGTGGCGAATTGGATGTTGCACACAGTTGGCTCCAAATACGAGAGAATGGAAATTTGAGGAAAGTCTGCACGCGACAGTAGATATCGCATGAGAGCATGTCTGGCACAGAGCAGCCAAGCCCAAGCAGAGTAATAGCGAGAGTATCGCGACGAACAAGTGAAATTGGCCTGTACTGAAGCGCTGATGGGCGCTGCTGACTAATGAGACACAGCGATAAGCTGAAAGCGTACAATAAAGCGTGTATAAAACCAATGCGCGCCGAGTCAGAGCATCACAGTCATCGCTGTACAACCGAGATCGAGCCAAACAAGCGAGTGGAGACCAAAAGACAATAAAATTATAAAATTCCACAATTGAAAAAGTGAAAAAGTGCGACGCATTTCAGCAAACTGAATAAGAAAATTTTGAACTTTACAAAACAGCATACGATACATATTTAAAGTGATAACAAATACACTATGCAGTGGAGTAATAACCAGAAGCAGCTCATCACATTCGCTGTCGCCACACTGGCGCTGGTACAAATGGCGCAAGCGCAGCGGCCTTCCTTTGCGGGCATACGTCCGCCGGGTCTGAATCAAAAGGATAAATATAATGTGAACAACAATGTGAACAACTATAACAACAATAGTAATAGCAACATAGACATTGTCAATCGTTTTGGGCAAGGCGAGGAGGTTGCCAAATTGCCGCACGGCGCCACACAGAAGCCGCCAGCTAACTATGTACCCGTCGTCTTCCCCGAGTCCAACTACCTGCCATTGGCAACGCCGAGCGCCAAACCCGTAAATGACTTCATTGCAAATCGCTTTGGTGGCAGCGGCAGCGATGAAAGTGTAAATAAAAGCGTAAACTCCATCGAAAGTGGAGGAGCTGCACTCAAACCTGTTTCGGCTAATGGCAGCGCCGCAGCGGCTGGCGGAGTCGGTAATATAGCAAATCGCCTGCCGATCGATGCGAAGGATGATCGCGAACTAGTGGCCATACTAAGCCGTCTGCCAGCGGATCAGCAGCCGTTTTGGTTTGTAAACGCGGCAGCAATTGAGGCACAAAGGAATGGCTCGTATCCGAATTTCGCCGGAGCGGTGAACTCGCGAGGCAGCTTTTTCGGCTAAGCACCTAAACCATGCCCCCACTCTCATATATATATGTACCTCTAAGCTGTATCCTGTCGTCGTATTTAAGCTCTTTCGTATTTATTATATTTCATATACCTACATGCACACATACATATGTATTTGACTATTATTTTTGTTTCGTTAAGAAATAAATGTTTTATTTTACAGATGTACTTTTGTGTGTTTGTTGTTTTAGTAGCACAAAAACAATTGCCAAATCAGTGTTTGAGTGCTTCGTCTTATTTTTTGTTCAAAATTAAAAAAATTACTAAACCGACTCGCAATTAAAATGCGCACCAAAAAAAAAATCAGAAAAGAACAAGAAAAGTATTAAGCGTGAACAACAGTAAAAGTATGAAATATTAAATGTAATTTACAAAAAGAAGCCGCAATCGTGTTTTGATTTTTTTAATACTTTTATTTTCTTCTTTTTTAACAACATTCTTATCGCTTTAGTGGAACCTCACGATGCTTTGTCCAGCCGCACAAAAATAAAATCTTTTGTTATTTTCGAACGAAGCAAATGAGCAAAACAAAAAGAAACGAGCAATTAAAAATTAATTTACCCAAAAATAATGGAAAGTAAAAAAAGCGTTTAGCTTTAAACTTCAAAATCCGTAATTTGCGCTCAAATTTTTTTGTGAATTCGAGTTCTCGCTCTCAGCATTGAGTCTTTACAGCCGCAGCTAATTAAAACAGCGCAATAAAATCTGTTGTCTCTGTGCAATAATTCCGCTGCACGTTGTACCGTGAAATTTAATTTTGCAAACTGCATACTTTCGCGCTTCCAAGTGAGAACTGAGCTTCGTTTATGAGCTATTGTTTGCAAATTTTCAAACATGGTTTGTATGTAAGCATCGCTAACCATCTCATGAATATTAATGCCCGAAACAATATTATATTTTATGTCATACGTCACTAGAACAGGTGCTCTATGTGAAATAATGGATCTGTGATGTTTCCAGCCTAACGGAATATTCTCTGCGACAACTCACTCGAGTTCCTACAACAATTGAACATGTAATTTTGATATAAAGGGTGTTCTTTTTGACATGTGGTTTTTAGGAAGAAATAAAACGCATATAATTTTATGTAATGCCCCAGAATGTAGTTGTTTTATTAAGATTATGTTTTAAAACGATTTCGGGCAAGCGACCCACTCGGCTGGCTCGATTAAATTCCAACCGAAAACCCTATTTTTGAGCACCTTTTGCAGTAATTAGGCCGAATGTCAGCAATAACTCGCCGAACTGGTCTAGTCAAAGTCGAGCCGTGGAAAAACTTGCCAATCACTCAGGAAACTACCTGGCTTGATCCAATTGGTACTCTTAAATAAACCCTAGAAGAACTATCCATCACTAGCCACATCTTAAATGAAAACCATTTTCATTAAAGCATTAAACCATCCATTCCTCACGTAGGAGGTAATCGCATAAAATGCACCTCCTCATAGACCAGGATGACCAGCTCTGTAACTGCTGCAAAGTGTTACTCAGATGTACTGCAGTGAGAAGAGCTCGTGCGTTAACCTCCTGCGTACTTATCAGCAGCTGCAAAGATTGTTGACAAAAATATCATAAACAATCCACTTAACCGTTAAGAAGTTAAGATTAAAAAAATAAAAAAGTATTTAAAAACATAATATTATTGTTATACCAGCTACATGCACACACATACATATAAACGCATGTCTTCCTAATGCAGTCCTCCACTGTCACAGCGCTCAAATGCGGAGATGGTTAATGCCTGAAGCTGCCAGGGACAGAAGAGAGCAGTGAAGGCACTAGAAGGCGAGTAATCTGGAAAGACAGTAGCAAGTTGAAGACGATTTGACGAGTGTCTTGCTGTGGTAGTGTGTTTTGGAAAGTGTGTGGGATGAGCGCAGATGTGAGGTATCAATAAATGTGATGACCTAAGGAAATGTTACGTACTAATCCATCCACCCGCCATCAACTTTACCGCAAAGCAATCGAAAGCAACGAAACGGAACGCAGCAAAAGCCAGAGAATGGAGAAGTTGGTCAGTTTGACCGCAGCACTGTGACGGCAGAAAGGCCAGACAACAGGACAGCACGACCACACTGACAGCCAACAGCAAAGTTAATTTCCCGCAATAACACTCAACACAGTTTCTTGTGTCATCAAATAAATTTCCTTCAGCTGGCACACTGAGCGACACACACATGTACACACATACACAAAGGCAACTGGCGAAAGTGATGCTTTAGCTGTTGCTGTTGCTGTTGCTGCTGCAGCTTCTGCTTCTGCGGTTGATGATTATGATGCTACTTAAGCGAGCGAACAAACGATATCTCAAGCATGTTGACTTACTCGCTTGGACAACACCAGTTACAACAACAACAATAACAAGATACGTGTTTGTATACATGTGTATGTGCTCCATGTAGCGGGTGTTATAAACAGTTGATTCGGATAGCTCTTGCTCGCCTTAGCTCATATTTAAAGAAATAATGTCAATAATCGTAAGAATTTGTGGAATGGCATATTGAAAGCTTCGCACACTCAAACTCACTCACATAGTACAGGCACAAGCTAAACGTTAGACGGTTACTTGTGGCTCTTGAGAAAAAATAAGAAAAATATATAAAGTGCAGTTGAGCGGAAGAAGTGTTGCGAATGGAAAAGAAATTAAAAATTGGTACGAGAAAAATAAAAATGGAAATAAATAAAGCAGAAGCGAACACTTTAAAGAGCAACATTAAGAAAAAATGAAGATTATGGAAAAGCTTTCTTTCCTACCTCGTCAATAGAGTTAGGGATACGATACGAGCAAGGAATGCAGGTCGTCCAGCAGGTATATTGAATACTTGTTTAAGACTGGTAGTTTGTCAACAGTCTCAGAAAAATTCAAGATTCACCTATATCGCAAGCCTTCAAATTCAAAATAAACTTTATTACTTGCGACTATGCGGAAGCGACTCCGCGTTTTAAACGGTGGAGACAAACAAACACAGAGTTTCGGACGGCAATCAATAATAGTCTAATCAATTTAGTAGCACCGTCGCTCCCAAGTCTTACATTAACTTCGAGGCGGCTCACCATGTAACTTCAAGCGGGACTGAATGATGGATAAATGATTCTAAGCGTCTTCCCGTAATATCGAAAAGGAAACCCATTTTCCAAACTAGTCTTCTTCAGCGGCAGAAAGTGTGATGTGCTGAAAAGATACTTACATAATTACGTCAGAAAATCCAAACAAGCCCAAAGACGTAATTTTACTTATTTCTTGTGATTTTTTCAGCGCACTGTAAAAATAGCCGCGAGCTAATGAAAACTCATTTTATATTTATAAATTAATGCGATTACTTTATGCCAAATATTTTTCTTCTCACTCAGTCAGTTATTTGTCATTTCGGAGCCGCAAGCAAATATGCTGAATATTTCATGTCCACAAAAGGCATGCCATTAGTACTTGTATCCCACTCAGCGACGAAGTGAAGAGTAAAAATAGTTCGGTATGCCTCATTTTCCATGCATTGCATACTCAGACTGCGCTTACGCCCCGGCCGAACCGTTATACCAATAGCACTAGCGCTGCACTCTGCTAGACTACTAGGTCGCTCTTTCTGACAGCTCCGTTTTGACATTTTGTACGACTTTTTATGTTTTCCTATTCATGTCCCATCAGCTGTGACCGTAATCAGCCTCATTTGTATATTTTCAAACAAACACACACACAACTGCCTACACACTGCAAGACTTCTTTTATTTCCGGCCGCCGCGTAGTGCCTGAGGGCCTCGGTTGCTATTGTAGCGAACTCTCAAAGCCAGAGCGTCGCCGGGTAAAGCAGTGATATGCAAATTTTTCCAACTATTTGTGCGCTTCCTTTTCCCTCGGTCTTGCAAGGCAATGCAATTTTATTTTATTTCAATTGACAGCGAGAAATTTCTCATTCGCGCATTCCAACGCCTTGTCGCTGCTTGAGACACTTCGATGTCGCCAACCTGTGGCATCTTTTGGAGGTGTTGGAGCACGAGAAAAACGAAATAGAAAATAAATTCTTCAGCTCTCTTCTCTCCGCGACCTGCCTGGTGCTGTCACTATTGTGGCTCCGCTCAGCTCTGACGAGCACTATGGCTTTCTTATCGCTGGCGTCAGGAGGTGACAAGTGGCAAAATATGGCTCCAAATCAGTCAAATTAAGGACAATGAGAGAATGCGCGCATAAATGTATGGCTTCCTTTGCGTCGGCTAATATTCACATACATATAGAGTACTTATGTATTTACGATTGTGTATGGCTTCGGAGAATAAACGGAAGATAAGCAACAATGGCGGATGGCACAAGGAAAAGCCAGAGGAATAAAGTAGAACATTTTTCGAAAAAAACACGGTATGAAAAAGTAAGCCGAGGATATGCTATAGCCACAGCTAGCTCAGAGCCTGAAAATGTGGACAGAAGAAGTGGTACGGAAGATGGAATCTTCTAGATGAACAACCTGGCGTCAGGCAAGAAGCGAGCGTATTCATCTGCAATCGTACTGATTGCTGTCATTTTGACGCAATAAAAGCACTTCGCGTGAAGTGAAAAGTACATTTCTATGCTTTGTGATGGCGAGGGTGGCGGCAGAGATAAGAAAGCTATGCATGAAATGGAGAGGTTACGCGAATGGAGAGTGAAACGTTTTTTCATGAAATAAATAAGAAGTGAATCATTGCTTGAGCTTGGCGATGGTTGGATGGACGGTCGAAGGTCGGCTTCCCATTTTTCTGTACCCAAGTTGAGTAATTATGGTTTAATAAATTTTTAAAAGGCAATTTTCGAATACCGCGAAGAGATAAGCAATAAATGTTGCCCACAGTTGATTGCTGCAGCGGTTTGCTGTATTAATAAGACCAATAAAGGAACTGAAAGTTTTCACATAATGAAAGAACTACCTAACTCCTTCTAGAGAACCCTTCAAAGAAAAGATAAGAGAATATTATTTTCGGTTTTTCGTTTCGTTTTATATGTTAAATATATATATATATAACAATTTGCGTGCAAACGCTGCTATAATATTCTCAATACGTAAATACGCAAACAATAAAGTCTTTGGCTCCTACCATGACTGGTATTGAGAGGTGAGAGAAAATGGCGAGTTGACCACAACATAAGATTCTCCGATGGGTGTGTCTATGGAAGCACTGAAGAAGGGCGCTGGTTCCACGGCAACTAACCGCTCGGAGCTGATCACCACCTTTGCGGGCGTGATGGCAGGCGTAGCTGCTACAGCGGGTGCTGCCACAACCACTGCAGCTGCGGGCGCCGGCTTCGATACCAAACGCTGGGTGCTAACCACTTGCTGAATTTTCGCTCTTTGCTGCGGCGTGTTCAGGATCTGCTTAATAACAGCTTTCTGTTGAGGTTTTCTTTGTTGGAGACGTTGTGATTGCTGCACCACTCGAAATTGGGAGTTTTTTTGATGTTTGAAACGTTGTTGCAAACGGGAAGGACGTGACAAGGTGAGACGCGCAAATTCTTCGGCGTCTGGGTTGGGCGCAAAGTCTGGCGGTGATTCGACGGCTGGTAGTGGGTCCGTGACGGGCAATGGTGGGCCATAGGTTGCATCAGGTGGACCATAAACGAGCTCAGGTTCAGTTACCGCTTCCTCCTCAGCTTGGAAAGGGTTTTCTGGTTTCAACTCATCCGCTGAAGGGTAGGGAGCGAACTCGGGCTGCGCTGGTGCAGATTCTTGGCGAGCAAAGAATGGTCGTCGCTGCTGGAAACGGCTGTTGCGTGGATGGAAACGCGGTGGCTCGGCAATGGCACAAGTTAGCCCTAGGACGAGCAATAGAATTGTACTCTTGTGGAACATCTTCTTCTTCTTTGGTTGTGGAGGTGGAAGCTTAATGTCGAATCAGTTTTGCTTGTTGCTACTGCTTCTCTTGCTGTTGTCCAAAGTCGTATACTTTTTACCGAAATACGCGCCAACGTTTTATACTACTCAAGTACTCTTTCACCTTCAAAAAATAAATATTATTAAATTATTATTTTGCTAATTTGTCAATCGCTTTATTTTCGCACGAAATTTCGTTCTCCAAATATTAATTTGTTTTTGGTATTTTTGTGCCTTCAGCCCAGTATGAGATTGTTATTAAATTTAATTAGTCATTTGTTTATTTGGCTGAGTTTTTGGTTAAACGGAGCTCGCATATCAATGAGCTTGGACATTCCCTTTGGGCTTTGTACACCGAGCTGACTCGGCAGCTAGCTGAGCTTTGCTTTAACTTAACACCCAAAAGAAAATCTGTTCTAGGTTTTTTGCTCCCAAAAAGGTAGTCTTGGGGTCAAAATGCTCCATGTTTAGACGGAATATATCTTTAGCGACAACACTTATTTTGGTAACCCATTAAACCAACAGCTTTAGTCTTAATACATTAATTTGGTTGGGCTCTTTGGCCTTATGCACATAGAGTTTGATTTCTTCAGAGGGGGCTGTTTTTTTGAGAACGTTGCAAGATTCCCAAGATCAGGCTAAATACTTTTCTCCGCAGATTGTCATGAATCCTCAGCTCTCCCTATTCGACCGTTTTACAGCCGAACCGCATTTGCCGTATGACACTTGATAAAAACATCCAACTAGCTGTAGTCGCAATTCGGACAGTCTCCATATACGAAAGTTTATGTCTTAATAAAGCTTTTGGATTGGAGTTCTTTAGCTAAGTATGCCCTGGTATGTCGCAAAGGTGCGAAGCAAAGCACAAATGTAGTTTCTATGATCTTTCTTAAGCTTTCTGACAATATCCAACAGCTTGTAAGACTTAGCCTGCACAATGTTATCTGAGCATGGACATAAATTGTTACTATTACATTCTAAGTATATGTCTACGCCATCCACATTTGGCACTCGATTAACCATTGGCCCTTGACATAGCAGTGAAACGAGCGGAACAACCTCATCATTACTGGCACGTAAAAACAATGCATACACACATACCTACACTCGTTAGGAAATTAGTTTAAATCGAAGTGATTGCCGCGGCGAACACCTAAGCGGTGGGTGCACTCACCTACAACAACAGCGCCGCAGCCAGAGCGGGAGTCGCGGCAACCGTTAATAAAATTAAACGCCGCATTGCACCAAATTTGGCAAGGAGGCCTACAAGTCTACAAGTTGTGCGTGTAATTGAGTGGAACACGTGCATTTAGAATGAAGTTCTGCGCTTGTGAAAAGTATATAAGCTCTGGAGTGCTGGGTTTGAGATAGCATTGTTTTAGTTGACAGTGAACAGCAGGGCACAAGCAGCAGCAACAGAGATTCAAAAATCTTTTTCTCGCATCCAGGAATAATTCTTTACAAACAAAATGTTGAAACAAACCGCATTTGTGGCACTTCTACTAGCTGCCATCTTAGCGCTAGCGCAGGCGGAGCCACCACGGTTTCGTGCTGCACTTAGACGCACACCAGGTCGTTTCCTTGCACGTCAAGAGGCGGAGGTTACTGCTGATAACCAACCAGAGGATGTACCACCTCCAGTTGAGGCGGAGCAACCAGCACCGTATCCACCCGCCGGTGTCACACCATCCATACCCTTCGACCTACCAACAGAAACCGAAGCGCCTCTGCCGGATGAGGTTTATGGCCCACCCGAAGAGGAGCCAACACCCGATCCCACTTATGGACCACCAGCGGAGGAGGAGACAGCCACACTAGCAGCGCCTGCTTCTGACGGTGAAGCGGTATCCGAGAACTTGATTCAACCGCGTCGAAAGGCCGTCTTGGCCAAGCAACGCGCCAGAAGTGTGCTCCGCTCTCAGCCGCTGCTGCTTCAAGCTGTGCCCGCTGCACCAGGTGTAGTAGAGTTGGTGCGCGCCGAGCCAGGAGTTGTCTACATTTTAAAATAAAGACGTAGGAGGCGAAAAGAATTGGAAGAAGACGTCATGCATATCTAATATTCCTTTTCTAATTGTTAAGTTTTAAAACGAGAATTTTATTCAAAGAAACGATGAAATATTAAATCTGATTTATTTTACGAAGTTTAATTTTTCCTTATCAAATTTAATCTTCTTCTTTATTCACTAGTTTTCCCTTAAGTGCATAAATACTCAATTAAATTATGAACTTAACTGTAATCGAATGCGAAAGTTATTCCCTTGTGAAAATTTACAAATCATTTATTTCGCCTAAAAGCAGAAAGAAGAAGAAGCACTTGGCAATTGGTAATGTATGTATGTCGTATGTACGTATGACGCTTGTGTGTTCCATTGAACTTGAAATAAATGTAACCTTGGCCCTACTTTGTAAAGTTTTCGTATAAATATAAACATGAATAGCTACGTACGTATGTATGTATGTGGAGTATGTCTGTGCACTAAACTATTAGTTGTACACTTAATATTCGATGCACGTACAACGGTATTGCCGATTGTTTTCGTTTTCTATACAAACAATCAAAGAAACTGAGTATGTTGGGGGAAATCTATGTATGTATGTAAGCACATATGTAAGTTAAAATTCGGCGTTGAGGAGCATAAAATACAAACAAAAATTTATATGCGAATAGAGGATTCAAGTGAGCTCGAGCTCTTCTCAAAAAATCGTTAAACATTTTTCTTAAACCTGTTAAGCCTGGCAACTCTTCTCAATAATATTATCAACAACAAAGTTCCCTAAATCTGTTCAATTTTGTACCCACATGCCCAGTGAGAATTAATGTACAAATTTCGTCACTGGGCAACCCTCTTCCCTTACAAAAAAGTATCAGCTGTTAAATATTACAAATCTTAGAATTTCCTTGCTTTTTTTTACCTATGAAATATTCCATATTCCCATGAAATAAACTGTAGGCCCTTTCAGACATCAAGACGTACATCATCAATTGGAGAAAGAGATCGGCTAAAAATTTCTTTAGCGGTTAAGTTAATCCCAATAGAAAATATTAATCATAGAAACGAGAGTTGCGCATCTGTTCACCTGTAATCTGCTCTTAGACGAAGAGTATCCAATATCATTTCCAGAGCTTGAGCGACGCTTAAGAATATCTTCAATCACACCTAGGGTTTTTGAGGTTATGGGCACAAAGTTAATAAATCTTTCAAAACGAACTTAGTTCGGCAACAAAAATAAAATATAAAATTTTACACACAACCGTTTTCGTATCATTTTATTTATCAACATAAATCGGTTTATGTCAAAAAATTATTTAATGAAAAATCCGCACTCACGAGAGGGAGGGATATTATTTCCTGAAAAACCAATAACGTTTACTCGGAGTCGGTCCTGCCTGCCTTTCCGGTATAATATCTGCATTTTCGTCAACATCTTCGGCTCTTGCTGACACTCTTTCTTCTGGCATCGGCAGCAGCTCCTCGGTGCCATCCTCCGCTGCATCCGCCGCTATCGGATCTAAATCTTCAACAGCTTCGTCTTCATCGTCCTCTACTGGTTGCGCCGCTGCCATTTCTGGTACATCTCCGCTCGCCTGCTGCTCTGTTGGCAGTGTGAATGGCACTTCGGGTCTCAAGCCCGCCGCTGGATATGGCGGCGCCACCTGACGCGCCATGTTTGCAACCAAAAAGTAATTTCCACTTAAACGTCTTCCTTGTCCTGGCACAATGCTTAAAGTCAGCGTTAGTAGTGTAACTAACAGTGTTATAAGATAAGCCGGCTTCATTTTTTTTGGAAAAATTTTCAAAATGTAATTCTGCCAACCATGTAGCGGAAGGCTTTCAAACCACGGCGCTCAGTATGCGACTAATTCTGGGTTTTTGACAAAAATCGCACGAACCATTTTCAGCTTTTTAGAATTAACTAATACATTTAAAAAAGAAATTAAAAAATTGTGAAAAAATTAAATTTGGCAGCCAAAAATACCTTACGTGCCTTCTACAAGTATTATTCAAGCCAGGTTGCGCGCTGCGAAGCATACTAATTATTTGTTTTTTAGTTTTGAAACTTATTTCTGAAATTTTAAATTCATTTTCCTGTCCATTTTTCGTGTTTGTTGCTGTTGTTGTTGTTGTTGTTGTTGTTGTTGTTGCTGTTGTTGTTGTTGTTGATGCTGTTGTTGTTTTTGTTGTTGTCAACATAATCATGGTCAGCTTGGTTCGATTATACATATTTTGTTTCTATCTGATCACTTTTATCGCCACTTAGGCTTATTTTCCTTCTGATTCTTCATGTTCTCTCTTTTGTTATTAATATTATTTGTTTTTTAATTGTTCTATTCATACCAGCGTAGTTACATCCAGCAATTTGATTAACAACCAAAACCACGTCGCTGAATTGCCCATTCGCTTGTCTACATATGTCAAACGAATGTCATATGAATGTCAAACAATAAACAAATATGGCTGGTCCGTGCCGCGTCGAACTATTGCCCATCACTTGTGCTGGCGGCGTCGCTGCCAAAAATTATAGACGACCAAATAATAGCTTAAGTTTGACTGCCTTAATATGATTGTGTATTACGTACACAGATAAGTAGATGCCCATATATCTACATATGTGAATGCCCGGCAGGGAAAAGTACTAGTTGTTAACTAGAAGTCAACTGGTTTGTATATTCGCCCTGGTATTATTCGATGTCCTACGAGCTGTCAATTGTCCGTCTATGCATCAGCTGTATACTAGTTAAATACTAGTTCAATTGGCATATGAAATTTCTACTTCACCAAAAATTAGCACAACATTTTAAATAAAAACAATGTTGCCTACTGCGAAACTCAAACCCCCCGCGTTTTAATGAATACTTCCAAACACTATACTGATAACTAACAGGTGGGTTTTCTTCTTCAAAACACTAGTGTTCGACTATAATTTTTGCATACTAGTCTACCTTCTCTTCTCTCTGCCGGGTATGGTTGATCGCATTTGTATGTCGAGTCTGTTAGAGTTCGCGTCTATAAAAATATCATAAACCCCCAAGTAAATAAATTATATGAACTCTATAATTATTAGGCAAGTAATATTAATGTATGTATGCATGTATGAGTGTAAGAAGCAATGATTATTGAATTGCTTTATTTATACGCCGCTGAATGTCAGCAGAGACTATTTAAGTTGGTTGTTTTTATTCATTTTATGATTTAATGTAGTTTTGAAGGTGTCAATATCAATTTCAATTTTATGGCAAAAATGTGCGCGCAATGTTAACACCACCTCACCAGCAATTGGCACTTCCTTACTTACCCTTGGAAGGGTAAAATTACAAATTAAATTTTTTTTTCATTTCTTAAAAAAAAAAATATTTTAGAAAAAGTAATTTTCTCATTGTTTTTTTACGACCTTAGGTGAAAAACTTTCCATGGAAAAATCTTTTTGTCCGCGCTCAACAAGATATCGCCTTTGTGCTTTGTGCTTTTTAAGGCAGAAACAAACTAGCGGACCCGGCTAACTGCAGAGTGAGAAGAAAATATATATGGATTTCGAATCTAAATGTCAGTTATTTTAAATCAGTGCAGAGCGGTTTGGTAGTGGCCGATTACATTTTCGGCGTATGAATAAACAGCAAGGACGTTTGCCAACACACAGACAAGCAATGTAGACCGACAATGCAAAATACATGGGCATTTCCCATTCATTTTCCTATGCCCGTTTTGTCGGTCCCTGATCCACTTTCTGGAGTGAAATTTACCCGATAGGCACATAAAAATCTGTGCAGCCGGTTAGGAGGAGTTTGATTTCAAAATTATATATATATAAGACTCAGTTATCAAATCAGTGAGGTTGCTATGGGAAATGTCATTTAGAAAAATAAATAAAAAAATGAGTAAAAGACATAAACAAAAACAACTTTCTCACATATGCTTGTAGATATGTGTATACGAGTATATCCTGATTGTTTCAATTAGCTGCATTTTTGCACATTTCATTTTTACTCGGCATTGGCTCTTCCTTACTGCATTACTCATATATATATATATATATATATATATATGTGTGTGTGTGTGTGTGTGTGTGTGTGTGTGTTTGATGTCACGTCAGTGGATGGCTTTTTAGACCAGCAGAGCACGCGTGTGGACGACCGACTTGTAATAACAGTATTTGCGTAAAGCCAACAAAAGCAAACTTTGTGCAAACATTTTCTTTATTTGCATCTTTTTGAAGCACTCACACACACACACACACAAAAGCAAAAGCAAAGTTTGCATAAACATGCCTACATACTCCATATGCGCCCAATATATACAATTTTCCAAGCTACATATGTATTTGTATTTATGTGTGTTTGTGTGTATGTGAGCAGATTTGTATGCGTAATTAACGCTACAACCGCAAAAATATTTACAAAGTAACGGTAAACAATAAATTTATGTTAGTAAATAGACAGTCAGAAAGCAGCTTGCAACTATGCAATTAAGCCTGGACAAACATACGGACAGACATTTTATATGCACTTATATTGTACATATGTGTATGTACATATGCCAAAACTTATTTATTTATTTACTTATTTAAATATTTATTTTTTATATAGTATATGCGTTCATGTGTATGTACATATACGAGTATCTCTCATTTATTATATACTAAAAAGTCAAAAGAAGAAAGTAAATGCTCTCAGATGCATATGTATTTACTCGCTGAGCTCGCTCACCCTAAAAGTAACAAATTCTTATTTAACGGCATCAGCAAAATTATGCAACACATTGAATTTTATTCAATTTTCTAAGCGACAAAGCAATTTGGCGGCGCAATGTACGGGTATATGGATGCAAGTGGGTAATTATATTTGCCGTGTTCATGGGCGTTTGTGTGTTTGTGTGTTTGTGTGTTTGAGGGAAAATGCATAGAAAATATTGTATATGCGGGCCAAGCGCAGTGCATGTGAAATATGCAAACAAACATACACGAAAATATGCATAAATATGCAAATATATGCAGTAGGTGCATGTATGTATGTAAGTATGTACGAGCGTGTGCACATTCAGTGATAGACCTGTGCCTAAGCCTTCATTCATTTCTGCTTTATTTTCTGTCTGCTGCAACCAGAACACTCGCTTTTGCTATATGTATGCATGTATGTATATA